CGCATGAATCTATCGCCTAATGGCGCGCTCCAGCCCCAACGCCGCGCTGAAATACGAAGATAAAATGAAAACACCCCTCCCCTCTACTGCTCTGTCTGCGCCTTGAAGGCAGCGACATCCCCCTCCGCCAGCCACCCCTTCTCTACCGCCATACCGATGAAATCATCGGCACTCGTAGGCAACAACGTCGCCGTTGTGCCCTTGAGATAGGCCTCCACCTCCTCCAGCCCCTCCCACATTTCCAACTGCAGCTTCTTCGCTGCCTTGCTGCTGCCGGGCACGTAGGCCCCTCTCCCACCACCACTACCGCCACCCCGTGCCAACAGGTCTGCCAGGACATACTTCAGCCACAAGACGTTCGACTTCGGAACGAAGCGTTCGTACTTGTTGATGGCCTTGTAGTCGGCCCCCTCCAACTGCGCAAGCGCCATTGCCTCGGCCTCAGCCTTCGTCACCAGGTCCCTCACCGCGGCGTACGTCTTGAACTGCCGCTTGTCACCTTCACTATCCCCTTCCACTTCCTCGTAATCGTTGTCCCAGTATTTCATGGGGTCAAAAATTGTCATGTCGCCGACGGTCGCTCGCGACAGCGTGTAGTCGATGATGGTGACTTCTAGATTTGAGAGACCCAGTATCACCTCGGGCTTCTCCTCCATCTCTTCAATCACCTCTTGCTTCACGTCGAGCTGACCGTCTCCGGTAAGTGACTTCCAGCAAATATTGCCGTTGTGCAGATCACGGTGTTCAAATTGGACTTCTCTTTCCGCATGAGCGAGACTGATGGCGGTTTTCCAGAAGATGTCGAAGACTTGGAATGAGGACGCTGGTCTAGAGCGCCCCAACTTGCCCAGTGGTGTACCTGCATGATTCATCTCGAGAATAGCGTAGAGTGGTTTGTTTCGGGAAGCAGTGACGGATGGGTCAAGGTTCTGCGCACTCTCGGCAGTATGTGTCAATGTGAATGTCGAAAATGCCTCGAGAAGAACGTCCGGGTATGCGCCGCTGACGATGTGAATTCCCCGGCACCGAACGAAGCCATGCAACGCGTCGACCGTCTGGAAAAGTTGGATCTCGCGAGTTATCGCGTCAAGATCTGCGATGTCGTCTTTGCTTGTACTTTCCACTCGAAACGGAATCACTTTGATGATGAGGCCGCCACGTGTTTCCAGTTCTTGTGCTTCGTTCGCGTCCTTGGGTTGCAGTTCATACACGTCGGCGTATGATCCTTCTCCGAGCTTGGTGCACAGGTATTTCTTTCCAATGCTTCGGCCAAATTCTTGAAAGTCTTTGACGCCATGCTGTTCGACAATCTTGAGCAGTGGATCGAGCGCCTGGAGTTTTTCCGGCGTGAGTGTCTGTTAAGGGAGATCAGCGACTGGCCTAAAGCTCTCAGGAAGCCGAGCTGACATACAGCCATCTTCTTCTGTGAGATCAGTTTTCGTCTTCCTCGAAGCCGTGGATTGTGTTCAGTTGATTTCTGCTTGATGCTGAAAGTCGGCTCCTGTGCTGGCTGTAGAGGAATGTCTCTGCCAGGTACCTCGATGGTCAGTCTCTCCATCTCGTTCACAATTTTCTCGTCATCTTCGGGCGCGTCCGTTTTCTGGACAGCTTCGTTCTCGTCTACGCCCCCTCCGAAGAGATCAAAATGCATGGCCCGTTTCTCAGCGGTCGGGGCCTTCTTTTTGCCATAGGTCTTGTCATTGCGGCGAGCTGGCCGCTGCTGATTTCGCAGCTCGTTCAAGGCACCGAGTTCCGCCATGCTGCAAAGGAATATTGCTATCGCAGAAACAAAATGAGGTGCTTACCAGGTCGTGGCTTGTGAATGTGAATTATGACCTGTGTCTCATGCAACTAGTCCCGAAGAGGTTAGCGTCGCTGTCGCTCGGAGAGACAAGGGCGGCGTGGTTTGGTGAATGTGAGGTAAGCGAAGATTTTACGGCCGCTTTTACACAGTACTGAACTTTGCTATGGGGGTCTGGCAGAATCATGTTTCCCATTGTGCTCAATAACCAAGCATTCACTTCTGATAGTCTTCCCAGGACGCATTGAATATGTCCCTGTAGCCGACGATGTCTCCCTGTACACTGTCCCGTCCATGCTCATCCGGTATGGGCCTGATCAACTTTTGTGCCACCCTTTTGCTCATCCAATGGTCATGCAGGCGCCTTCTCTTTAGCGGGCTCAACTTCCGATGATGCAGACAAACCTTGACTCGGTCATCATAATTGACCTTCCCAGCTGGCTTCATATCCCACATCTTGTCATAGAGCGTCCAATAGCGAGTGATGGATACTCGATTTCGAGCCCGCATCGACGCATTGTGCCTCTTCACTTGCATTCCAATAGCAAAGAGCCGCCGAAGCCGTTTGATAAACTCCCATCGGATCACGTACTCTTTGACTTCGACGCCGTATCCATCGCGAAGTCTTTTTAACATGCGAGTCCACCGAAGACACCTCTCCGCAGAAACGATACGCATTCCCTTGCGTGGCCGGAAACACCATGACATGAGGGACTTCTGGAATTTGCTGTCAAAAAGATCTTTCCACTCCACCCAGTCGCGTGATAAGGGCACATCTAGGACTTCGCGGTGGAGGCCATCGTGTCTGAACCATTCAGCGACCCAGTAAACCAGCGCCTCCAACTCTTCTAGCCGTCCTTGTCGGCCAAGCGCCCTCATTGCCTGTCGCCAGTACTTGAACTTCACATTTGTCCTAGACGCCAATGCTTTCTGCATCAAACCTACTATCAGCGAGGTGTGGTCAACACTCAGCCCCTGGAGAGGAGATGGCAAGTGCTGGGCAGTTGTGCGGAAGAAGGGCGCAAGGGCTCTCGGAAAGGCGGAAGAGAGCTGCCACCCCCGCTCTTGCAGAGACGTTGCGCAATTGATAACTGAGCTCCAGTCACCTGCTTCCACCATGGCGATCAGCAGGAGATTTGCAGCCCGGCGTTTGGATGCGTCGTCAAACCGGCCGTCGTTGAGGATCGCCAATGTCCGATTCAATTGGCGCCAGTCTTGCTTTCGGTAATATTCTGTCAACAGTCGTTTTTGCACGTCGACATCTTCGAAGACCTCATGGTGGAGGTCGTTATCTACCAATGCTTCGACCAGCTCCCAATAGCCTGCATCGCAAACATTCCTGAGCACTCGAACGAAGACAGAAGCTCCAGTGTCAATCTCGAGCTCTCGGAGTTTCTGAAATCGAGCTTGCAGTGTAGTCAAATCCGGCGAAGTTGCCGACATTTGTCGAACCGCGAGTGGTCCAACTTCGATCAGCCCAATCATCCTGAGACTGTGGACAGCGAAGTCGAATGAGAAAGCTCGAGTGGCAAATGCACGTGCGACGAATTGATCGCTGAGTTTGTTCGGGGCCGTGCCCATGGTTTTGCTCGCCACAATATTGAGTGACTCCGCTGGCAGGCCGGTAACTCTACTTCTGCCGATTGACCACAATCGCCTCGCTTGCGCCTCGAAGCAGACTCCAGCCGTGGTCAACGGAGACAAAAACTTGTCCAGGCTTTCGTTGTGTAGTGCCAGGTAGTTGATGAATGGTTCAAGCAACTCGAACCGAGGAGGCAGGTCTCTCCTCGAGATTAAGAACGAATGCATCATGAAGGCATCGTCTGGCCGTTCCTGTTCCCAGAGCGTGGAGGTGATCGCTGCGTAGATTGAGTTTCGGAGTACCATGTCATAAACCTGGCAGAAAGCCCTGAGAGCATCTGGGTTCCGTGATTCACATGCAGCAGAAAACGTAGCTAGCAGGTCTTCCCGTCCTCTGAAGTGCTTCTCTCTGAGAAAGGCTGCAAACCGCGGAGCCTCCAAAGGGTTGGAACCTTCTAATGCTGCTCCGACAATTTCTGCGAATAAGTGTGGGCGTTTGTACCTCAACAGTTTGGCTTCCTTGCACATCGACCAGAGAAACTGGTGGTCTTCGGCGCCCGCGGAGAGGAAAGTCTTCCAAAGAGCATCAACGCGAGGATCGTCTCCTTCGAGGCGGAATGCTTCCCCTCGGAACTTCATTCCCCTCCAGATGGCTTTGATGCCCTCGTGGCCATTTTGAAGAGCCTGGGCAATTAACAGCATTTCCCAGAGCTCTATATCGTGACGATATTGAGGTTTGTCAGTCAGGCGAGTGCCAATCAATGACATATCGCCTACATCCGCCTCCTGACGCAACTGGGCTCTGGTCTTAATGCCATATGCTAAGCCACGGTCGAGAAGGCTTTCCCATTGCACATCATCCGACGGAGAACGGGTTGAATCTGAAAAGGTGGCCAAGAAATAGTCGTCCTTGGGTCCATGTGGGCCATGGTCACCTGTACATGTCGAAGTGGTTGAGAGAACTCGGTTCCTTGGTGTTCGACAAATCCGGGAAGGAGCCAAGTTCCGTATTATGCATGAGATTGCAGGCGATTGATAAATCCGCCATCGTCTGGGCGAAGCTGAAGAAAGATATCGTCGCGCCTTCGGGCATCGCGGAAGAGGTCCCCAGAACAATCTCATGTAGCAACGGACACACGGGCTCCAAAGTCGTCATCTGCAAGTATATATTTGCATGCTTGCAGGGGATGTGGAGACGTAACGACTGCAAGGAATTGGTTTGCTGTAAGAAGATGATGGTTTGCCGTGATGGATGAATGAGGTCCCGGATTCGAGGGCAGAATGATCCCCTTAAGGTCTTGGCGGCTCAAGACGTAGATTCGGCGGGCGCTCACATAAACGAGCCGCTCCCTCCGTACTTCAGAGGATCTAAGATATTGTATGTCCGAGTGTAATGATTCGCAGTCCAGGCCGTGAGTTGGTGTCTTTAAGAGCTTGAATCTGTGGCACTGAAAGCCGAGCAGTATCACCCTGGCCTAATCCGGCCTAGTCGTCTTGGCAAAGCAGCTGCTCTGCTCCTGCGTCTTCCGAACTTCAATCGGACTGCGACATCATCTTCGAAGCTGCTCAGCGATCTTGAATCTCCTCTCACTGTTTGATCAAGTCTCCCGCCGGCAAGATGGTCCACCCTACAGCTCTTCGAATGATGCAAGCCACGCGGGCTGGCATGTTCCGAGCAACCCAGCGAGCTCCAGCTCAACAGAAGTCTGGGTACGTCGCTCACACCACCAAGACTCCCGTTTCATCAAGCAACTACACTGCCCTCTTGGAGAATCAATCCGCTGACCGCTCTGTTTACAGGGTCCTTGTCTTTCGCGAGAACCGAGTGCCCTACTACCAACGCCTGTTCCAGAACCATGACGGCAAACGACAGTGGTGGAAGGTCAGTCGAAGCCCCTTCATTCAGTTTTGTGCTATACACGAGGACAAGTCCATATCACCTCAGATGGCGGACTGTGGCACTGCAAATCCGAGATTGAGCACGAGGCTTATTTTGACCTCTTCGCCGAATTTGGTCATGCCTGCGTGATTCTGAGGCTTTGTTATGCATTCTACAATGGCGTCTGGCAGCACATGTGTTGGACACGCTATCCAGTTTGCAACCTTGTACTGTTGAGGTCGCTGACGTTTTTCCAGACGCATCGGAGTCCATATATCCTCTACCCGTACTACACCCTCTTACTCGGCAGCTTCGCCTTTTCGTTCGTGGGAATGATCCGCCTGTTGTTCGGTCACAAGACCATCTGGTAAATCGAGACGAGAGACAAGGAAGGAGTCAAGCTGCAGATGGTCTTTACACGGCTTCAGTTGCAACAATTGTACATACGCAACCAGCAGGTCGAAAATGAGGCACATAGGTCAAGAGGCTGCTCTCAGATTTGCTGCCAATCTTGGCTTTGTGGTGTCTGTGATACCCAGGATGGATCAGCGACTCGTCTTGATCATTCCTCTGCTCGTCGTTGTGGTTTGTTGAGTCTGGATGTTGTTCGTCTCGGTCATACCATCAGAATCCCTACACGTGCCCCAGACTCGCCAAGCAATCTGGCAGCTCGGCCAATTGTTTCAACCGGGACGTGGTCATAACCATCACGGTGCAATATTGCCTTTCCCGCATGACTATCCCACTCGACTTGCACTCCATGCACGAGATCGGTTCCGGAGAAGATTCTGTTTCTATTCCTCGAACGCTTGTGTTTCTGCGAATGAGACTCGGCCGACATGCACGTTGATTTATACCTTCCGACGGACCCTGTGTCCTGTCAGCATGCTCCCTCCAGAAAAGGCCTCTTTCGAACGTGATTGGCTCTCGTCTCGGAAATTGTCCCATGCCAGTCATCAATGCCCGTTCCTAAGCATGTCGCTTACTGGGGATGAAAGGGCTCCTTGCCAGGCCATCCTAAATTTGTTGTTGTCAGACGTCCAGGTCATGTCTGCCACTGCACGGAAGATGGTCTGGCATGACACTAGGCCGTGCGCGTGCGCTGCATACAAGGCATAATTGCTGCTGAAGACGTTGAGCACTGGAAGCATCATTATGTCCTTGGAGATTACATCGACATGGCTGCATCCAGGTCAATCCACAGTGGTGCCTCCCACGAGCGTGACACGGTCTCTTATGGTGTCCTCGAACATATACATATTATGCGCCCAGACCGTGCTATTGTTCGCCCGGTGGTAAGTCAATAACCTTGACCATGGTGTCCTGCCGGATTCCCTGGGCATTAGCCCTACTTACAGTCGCGGCAGCGTCTCCTGTCACCAAGATACAGAAGCGTGACCTTCCCGACTTTGTCCGTCAATACGGTACGGTCTGCTTCCCTTTTGCTTTGATTGAGGCGTGGGAATATCGCTGATATACATCGTCACCGCTCAGCACCCGTCGCCTACCTCCACTCCCAAGAGGTCTACTTCCCCAGCTCCATCGCCGGCCAGCTCAGTCACACCCACCCTGAAGATGACAACGGAACCAACATAACGACACCCGCACCCCTCACGCTCGACAACTTGGACACCCTGAATGCGTTTGCCAACGGCGGGCAAGACGTCTACCTCACCTCGGACGAAGGCATCCAGGCGCTCCCGGCCTGGTTCCAAGGCACAAAGCCGTCCCCGTCGGGCTCGACGGGCAGCACCATCGCGTCGGTGATCGTGACGGTGGCCAAGCCCGACGACGTCCTCGACGCCTTCTACTTCTCCTTTTACGCCTACAACCAAGGCAACCGGGTGCTCGGCGTTCCCGAGCTCGAATTCGGCGACCATGTAGGCGATTGGGAACACACCATGCTACGCTTCGTCAACGGCACCCCGCAGGCCATGTGGTTCAGCCAACACTCGTCCGGCCAGGCTTTCACGTACGCGGCCGTGGAGAAGTATGTTGCAGATGCCGCCGCCGGAGGAGAAGTGGGACTCCGACCGGTCGTGTACGTCGCCAAGGGCAGCCACGCCAACTACGCGACGCCGGGGTCCCACGACCACACGATCCCGGGGCTGAACCTGCCGGACGGCCCGCTGGAAGACCACACCGACGCGGGTATCTTTTGGGATCCGCTCCTCCCCGAGAGCACGTACGCGTACGACTGGGACGCCTCGACGGGCGTATTTGCCGCGTACCACAACACCGGCGCGAGTCCGACGACGACGATGACGACGGCGTGGTTGGCCTTCTTGGGCCGGTGGGGCGACGCGCAGCTGCCCGACGATGCCGACGGGCAAGTCGATGTCTTTGGCCAGAGAAAGTACACGGCTGGGCCGACGGGGCCGGTGGATAAAGATCTCGGCAGGCAGGCCGTTTGTTCTGGTGATGATGATGGGGATTGTGTGGTGAGGACCGTGTTGACCGCGCGAAAGGGCTCGACGTGAAGTGCCTGGCGGTTTCGTCGAGGCGCGGGATAAATGGGATGAAATTGGATGATATTTTGCATGAGCGGATGGGGAATAGACTGACTATATATGACAGATGTACGGAGTACTAATACTACTTATGGTGTTGCGAATGGGTTGGATAGGATAGGACCGGTTTGGTTGGATGGATGACGGCGCGAAATCGGTACGCGGCCTGTATACAGTACTCTACAGTATCTAATCTAGATGATTACCCTGCGTCGCGTCAGAGAGATAGACGATGCAGGCATTTTGGGAGAACCGGCCTCGTCGATGTCGAGGTTCAGCCTCATTTACGGAGTACAGTACATGTACATTCTCCTGGCGTTCTCATTGTCCGAATCCCTGCCCCAAAGGGGTCACAGTATTGAGTAAGTGAGTGAGTCAGGAAGGAAGCTCTGTTGGCGACAGAGTCGAGAGAGATCGAAAAGTCAACTACGCTTCATCAATGATCCCGTTTCATTATACTCTACCAGTATACCCCGGCCGCAATCGCTCAAGGAAATACAGGTATACACCCAATACATAGGAATATATATGTTCAGACATCCTTCCCAATGCACTTTCCTCCAGCCATGAGCCGACCTCGCGTGACCTTGCAATGATAGTAGCTCCTCTCCCCACAGCCGCGTTGACCAAGGAGATGGATGCCCCGAGATTAAAATGACGTGACGGTAGGAAAAGTATAGATAGAGTAGAAGGAAGAAGAGTGGCCGGAGGTCCGTGGCCGGTGGCCTGGGGCCGGAGTGGTCAGCCCTGGCCTGAAATGAGATTGACTTTCACCCCTTTCCCGCTCCTCTCCGACGTCAGGAAGAGCCAGCTCCCTTTGTGTTGCGTCCCATGCATGCGCGCGTGCGTGCTCGTCGAGTCCGGGTATATGGTGCCCCGGGTATATGGTGCCATTGTGTCGTGCAAGAGGTCATGGTCGTGGTCTCGTAATCACTCTGTGGTTGGATTGTGTTGAAGGTTGACGTCTTTGCATGGCTTTATCTCTCTCCGCGGAGAATGGTGCAGCGCCGCTATGACTGTGAACGTGCCGTCTTTCTCGCTTGGCCAAGGGTAGACCTCAGGTGGATGGATGTAGTGTTCTGCTGGGGGATCGAGTGCGCCGTACATATTCCAAAAGCGACCACCCAAACCAGGTCGATCGCTCGAGCGAGATACAGAAGTGCTTGCGCGAATGATTTATGTCCCAACGACGGTCTGGATACTTTTGTGATGCCCCCCGACTCCCGACTGTCTTGCTGGTTAAAATGGTGGCAATCTGAGAAAAAAAGCAGTTTGCTCGAGGGCTTGATTGTGCGCCCTAAATCCCCTCTCATATAAAGTTCTTCGTTGTCGCCATTGGGCCTTGCTTGAAAGTCAGTGTGTTGCGACTGAAATTCGTCCAGCCCTCGGTGGGCTTGGTCAGTTCATGCCTCTCCTCGTGAGCCGTGTTCAGCCTCGGTGTATTCAGGCCGGTTGCTTCCAGGCGGCCAGGACCGGATCTTTCGCGTGACCTGTTCGCGGAGCTCTTGTCCGGCAGGAAGTTCTTGAAGAGGGGCTTGAGAGTCGGGATGCAGGCACAGATGATACCTGTTCCAACCTCGACGACTGACCACTTCATCGTCGAGACCGACCCCATGGTCACGTCGAGACTGTTGACACTCTTGAGAACACTGATGCGTAGGGCTGAGGCGACCGTGGCGAAAAGACCAATTGCAAACAGGAGGGAGACAATGTACTTCTGCCGCGAAGGTAAATTGAGCCGGAAGAAGACCGGCAACGGCAGAATACAGAGCAAGAAGTCCGTGAAGATCGAGAAGGCCGTGGTGAAGTAGAAGAATGAGACGATGTTCAGGCAGTCGCGTGCAAGGGTGAAGTCCCAGGCTGATCGGACCGGCTTGCACTGGAAGATTGTGACGAGGATACTGCAGATCCAGACGGCGACGATGGAAGCACTGAGAGCGTACATGACCCTGCGAAAGAGCGTGGTCGGGAACACTCTCAGGTACGAGGTGACGATGGAGATCTTGACCAGCATCAAGGCCGTCGCATACATGATCTGGCATATCCACAAGGTCTGCTGGACGTTAGCGGATACTCCGAGTCGGACCGCGACTGCACTCGCCTGGATGACGTTCTTGGTGTTGTCCACGAGCTGCGAGTTCTGCGGAAGGTCGTAGAGATGCTTCCCCAGACCATATCGAATGCCTGGGACCGTCAGACGCAAAGCTCTCTGCCGCACAGCAGGACCAGCAGACACATACCCACTATGGCCAGTGCCGAAAAGACATCCGCGCAGAGACCCGCGGCCACCATGAGGTAGTCGTCCACGGCGACATGCTTGACCATGAACCCGCGAACGATCAACCGCACAAAGATGATGACCGAGTTGACGCAGATGAAGGAGATATTGACTCGGTAGATCTCGCCGACGTACGAGTCGTGAGGCAGAAACTCCGTTGGTATTTGGCTCATGGTGAAGATCTGTGAATCTGCCTCGCGCGGCCAATCGTCGGCCACAAACTCTCTCTAAGCGCTGTCTGTTGCTGATGAACGGTGAGTTGGTCCTGTGCGTGGCAGAACAGTAACGCGGGAGTCAATATCACATTGGGCACAAAGGCAAATGTTGCATGATGAGGCTCTTTCCGGGAGCAGGTCGGAGGAAGACCCAGCGCTATTAAGGGCTACCAGCTTCTCCTGTACCTGGACCTGTTCGTGCTGCCTCACGGCGTCCCGAATCAAACGTGCATGACGAAGGCATTGTGCACCTCGCGGGCTGGCTGCTCTTGGGACGTCTAGTCCTGCCATTCCGGGGTGCCAGCCAATGTGTAACCTGGTCAGGACTCAGTCTCGCCGCCGAGCGCGAGCAACTGCCCGCCTGCGCCGGGCCTCCTTGACTGTCCAGAGCGTGATCAGGGCGTGTGTGGTGTGAAGCGCGGCAGGGCAACTGACGAACGACGCGGCAGAGGCTCGTGCTTGGCGGCGGCCCCTGAAAATGCGCCCGCGGCGAAATTGCTTCGGGCGCCTGTCATTCGTCGCCGCGCGCAATTAAAGTCTCGAATAATCGCCCAAACCGGGTGTGTGGGCGCGGTGTTAGTCGGTGTGGAGGCGGCCTGCTCGTCCAACAGCCCTTGACCCTGCCCCTCCCTTCACTCCCACCACTCTCCGCCTACCCAGGACACGGTAGACCCCAGCAGCTGCCCACGAGGCCACGGCGTTGTGACTTTCGTCACGCACTCAAGCCACGCCTCGCACGCCGTCGACTCGACGTGGGATGCGGGCAGTGACTAAAAATCCCATGCACACCACTCCCCCTCGCTGTCATCACAAACACCTCCTTTCCTGTCGCCCGCCCCGGGGCTGCCACCTTCCCCTCCCGTTCATGCACCGAACGTGTCATGGAAAGCACCAATATGCATGAGAAGCCGCGTCGCCAGGAACCTCGTCTGGGGAAATCACCGTTCGGAAAGAGTGACAGGGCTCAAGCCGCGCCTACAGAACGCCTCATAGCTCTGGTTGTCGTCTCCGCGACCGTTGTGCACAGGCTTCAGTCTCGGTCAGCAGCCACCAAAGACTGCAGGAACGCGCATCCATGTTTTCGGCGCCGCAGTGGGTCTTGAGCCGGATGGTGGACTGGACCTAATACCGAGTCCCTGTCCTTCTCAGTCCATACAAGATGGTGTCATAAGATCACCGAAATGAAGAACCCTCAAGTATCACGCTAGTCATCTCGATGCTCCCGCCGCAGGCACCACCTCCTCCACCACGCCTGGAGGAGAAAAGACACTACTGCACAAAATGGTCCGGCATCCATGTTGGTTGCACAACTAAGTATGATTTCGACTCTAACCTCGATCGGGTACATGCTTCTTGACCCTGGGTGTTGAGATGTTTGAAAAGCAGATGCTTCACTGGGCGCACGAGTAGTGAGATTTCTATGTGGCACTTTAAGGGTCATATTATGATTAGTATTATTTGCGGTGCTATGCACGACGGAGGCAAGGGGAACGATAGACACCCTGGATTTCCACAGTCTTGTCGACGTCAGAGTTCGAATAGCCTGCCCAGCCAGGGCCAACTCAGGAAACCTTGCTTGTCAGTCGCTACTGCTGTCGCCACGATGTGTTGATGGAGAGACCGGCAAGCCATCAGAAAACCCCCTGCTTTTCCAATGGCTCGAGACATCCTTGAAGAACGCCCCAAGATTGAGGAACGGCCGCACGAGCAGCACTTTGGCCTAGCTCCCCGTTCATCTTCCCACATCCGCTCAATGGATCTTTGGTCTCGTGCCTCCACACGGCCAGCTCGTTCTTCTCATCCTTCTCGCGGAACCTATGACGGTCCGACCGCGTAGAAAGGTGCCGGATGGCGTGTCCCGGACATCTTGACGGGGAACTCAGGAGGCAATGTCGTGAAGTCAGGTGTGGGTTGGTTGTGCTCCGCCCATGTCGTATCGTAGACGGCTCCCTCGAGCTGGGCTCGTTTCCTCTCGGCACTGTTGCGCCACCCTTTCCCTGCTCGTCGTTCTGCAGGTGTCCCCGGCATTGGAAGTGCATAGCCCAGACCTCTGACAGCCGTCGTCCTCGAAGTGATAGACTGCAGCAGCCAGTCTAGCTTCGATTGGGGTACCGATGCCACAGCTTCGCGGTTGTGTAAGAACATGAGGCCATAAGTAGCTCCGGCAAGGCAGTTGGAGAAGGCGAGGAGCCCGAAAACTGCAATGAATGCCGTGGACAGTTGCACAGCGGCAACTTTGACACTCATAAGGCGGCGCACTGGTAGTTTATTCTGAGTGTCCTTGGTGGCCATGTACACCTGATAGAAGCGCTGGAGATCTCGCGGTGTGATGATCGAGATATCCAAGTCTTCTATTGCTTCCTGCTTAAATCGGGCGAAGAAGTTTCCAACAAAGCTGGTAGGGACAGCGCTCACATCCCCGGCATCGGGAAATGCGCCGAAAAATGCATCACCAAAGCTGCCAAGGTCGCGCTTCACGCGGCAATCGATCCGACTGTAGGATGCTCGTTCAGCCTCCCCTTCGCCGAATCGACACATGTCCCAATCAGAGTCGTTCTTGGGGATACCATGGGCGTGGAAAGCACCCATTGACAAATCGATCGTGCGCCAAGCCCCGGTCGACTCCTCGTAGTCCGTGTAGTTAGCGGCATACATGATGACGAGGAGATCCTGGATGTAGGTCTGGTTGATGTAATAATCCCCATAGTTGTAATAGAAGTCCTCGGCGAAATAAGCTTGGGGGAACATTTGAAGCAGCGATGGCGCGAACTTGGATTCGAACGAAGTGCAGTTCGCGGCTAGCCTCAGGTCCACGGGGGTGGACTCGGTAGACTGGCAGGTCATCGACCAGGTGTTGTTCCATTCTTCCGGGCGATAGATCCAGGAGTTCCCGGTGTCAGGCAAGTAGTCCAACAACTGGTCTGTGGGGAAGCCGGCGTAGTCAAGACTCTCCTGGGTCAGGTTCCAGAGAACCTGGGAATCAGCCATGCTGTTGTGACCCATAGCAAGGTTCCCATTGACCTCGGTTTTGATGATGACATCGGTCATTTTCGTCGAGTATTTCGCGATCGGTCCGGAAAGAACGGTCAACAGAGACAGAGCAATGACCGCAATGCACTGAACGAGGATTCTCCAATGCCGCAAGACATGAGACCTCAAAAGGTTTAAGGCGTCAATAGCTTCGCCAGGCGTGTTCACGCTGAAGAGAGACGTAACTGGCACAGCATTGCCCTTTGCAGCTAGGCGTCCACTGATTGACCAGCAAGAGCGTGAAAAGACATAGACGGTGATGCCGCCTAGGGTAGTGATGATAACATTCAAAATTGCCTGTACATCCTCCAGCTCCCACGCTCTAGGGAGAGTAGCCCAGTACACCATGCCGGACGAAGATGTGATTGAGACGACAAATAGCAAAACCACGCCTGGAGAATGTGATCAGACTGGGAGTATGAGGCATTATGAACACTGTCCAAGGACTGTCCAAGACTGGCTATGGTGGCGACACGACCAACATGGGGCCCAGGAAAGTGTGTGATGGTGCTCACGATAACCTGATTCGTGAATGTGCAGGTTTCCAAGCTCAATGAGGCTTTGTCGAGGCTCTGGGGAAAGATAGCACGATCGAGACCGGGAGCTCGCCTCGAATACGGGACTTGGGTTTCCCAGTTGTTCTTTGCCAAGGTGCAAGCTGCATTTCCTTGCCTCTAGAGCGAAATGTGACTCGAATGAATTTCTTCGACAACGCTTGGGCTGTACGCTCAGTCTCGGCAGCTGAACCGTCTTTGGGCAACGGTTGGGCTTCTTGTGCGTCCCAGTGCGTCGCCTCTCGATTTTCTGGCAAGCTGGTAGCCACGAAGAGTCCGGGGGCAACGTGCTCAGCGGTTGTAGGTAACGAGGCCCGCAATGCATGAAAATAAAAGCACCCTAGCTTCCTGAACGGCTGTGACCTCCAGGAACGTAGTCAAGGAAAAGAAATACAATTGTTCGTGTAGTGATGTGATGATGGCATATGTGGTGTCCGAGAGAGGCGTTGGATAATTAGAGTGGGAGCGAGTTGGAACGCACTTACAGAACCAGCGTGGAAAGGCTCACTGTTGTACGAGTTCAATTCCACATGAGATGCGTTGTTATTTGGAACGGCAGTCTGGTAGGTCAATGAGACCGCCGCATCGACGCCGAGATGTCACTATGTCGATGTGTACTTATGATAGAAGTGAGTGAAGGGTGAACTGTCATAATTCACCTTCACCTCACCTCGCCCTGGCATCGCCATCCGCGTCACTGCATCCGGCAGACCTTCCCTCTCCACCTTAAATCTGCAGCGCGAAACGCGTGCGACATCTCCAAGACCATCTCTCAGATTCAGATGAATTGGACTGCCTCATCCACACCTGTCTACCCATTACCGGCTTAATCCTCTCAACGCCATCTTGACACTCCGATATTCTGCTGTGATCGATATGGAGACGAAGGACACCCCCTTCCCGCCTGCGCATGAGGTGCCATTGCATCGCAACGCCCCCCTCGCTCCCACACAAGAGCTCGCCTACCGCAAGAAATGCATAGCGCTGAAGCGAAGACTCGCCGAGATCGAGGCAAACAACGATGCTACCCGGAAGAAAATCATCCTAGAGACACAACGGGTCCAAAAGATGCGCCTCAACCGAACGATCCTCCTGAACAAACTGCAGGAAATCATGACAACCCCAGCCAAAAAGTTGACACCTGAACAACTCGAGAAGCTCGGCATGATGGCAAACGGCAACGGCAACCTTGCGGACTTTGCAGGCAGTGGTGTAGCGCCCGAGCTACAACACCGGAGACCTGATGGAGAAGGACTGCTGGACGACAGTTCAGACGAGACTGATGAAGATGAACCCGAGGTTAGGACGCCCTTTGCTCCCCATGGCATTCGCTTACCCGACACAGCCTTCGGAAAGACCTGAACGGCGGCGAAGGGCCAACAACGCCTACCGCGAGACCGTGTTGAATACGACCGTACCAGGAGAGCCAGTCCCCAGTTTGTATCAGCAACCGGCCTTACCGAACCTCGCACCTGCAAACTCCTTCTCTGCAGCACCTCCGCACGAGGCTTCGATGCTCACATCCTCTTTCCGCGTCAACTCTTCCACTCCGCAGGGTGGTCCAAATAGCAGGGTCCCACCACAATATCCCGACGCAGGGTATCCACATTCATCACCTTTGGGCATCAACCAGCAGCTAGGCATGCCCTATCAATCCCCTGGTCAACCCCGAGCTCCAAGTATCCCGTCCAGCGACGTCAACGGTGTTGCGCGGGGCGTTCCCCAACGGCCTGAACGACCTGAAGACCCTTACACGCAATTTACCCTCCACATGCGACCACAACTCGAAGCCGATTATCCGCCAGGCGAGATCCCCGCCAAGATCCAGTACGAGTGGGAAAATCTCAGCGTTGACAACAGAAAGCTCTGGGAGGATAGATATCTAGGCCAAATGCAGGAATACGAGACCGCAATGGATGCGTGGAAGAAGGCGAGGCGGGACGCGCCGGGCGCCTTCCCTGTTGTCAACTCCTAGAATATGATAAGAGCGAGATAATGTACTTTTAAGCACCAGGGGGTGCCCTGGTCATGACGACCTCCGTAGTGGATGATGATACCGATCCAAGTGCGCAATGCTCACTTTGTCTCTCTTTCCGACTGGCGACGCTGTCAGCGCCGTTGTCCTCAAATCCCTTCCAACATCCCTCACTGTCACCCTGAATGTCCAGGGAGCCATCCACGCATACAATCCAACTAACCGCCAGCACTACTCACTCATAGGAATATCCCGCGCAGAATCCTCCATCGACCGACCAACAGGCCCCTGTGACGAAACTCGCCTTATTACCACTCAGAAACACGCAGACATCAGCAATCTCCTCCGGCAGGCCAAATCGTCTCATCGGCGTGGCTTTCTTTACTGGGTTGTCGTACATCCACTGCCGAATCTCCGGGTTCGGGTTCGTCATTGGCGAGTCCACCACGCCGGGGAGAACGCTGTTGACGCGGATGCGCTGTGTCGCGTAGTCGAGGGCGTCACTGCGAGTGATGGCCGTGACGCCGGCTTTTGCGCCGCAGTACGCCGGGATGCCGGATTGGGAGTACACCGCCAGGCCGGAGGAGATGTTGACGATGCTGCCCTTCTGCGCACGGTGGGGCGGAATATTGGCGTCGGGGTATGCTTCGTTGTCGAGACTCTGGCCGCGCATATTTCGAAGGGCTTCGCGCGCGCACAGCCACAGGCCGCGGTAGTTGACGTTGTTCTGGTTGTCGAAGCTCTCGAGCGTGCAGTCGGCAGAGGGGCCTTGGAAGGTGACGATGCCGGCGCAGTGGACGGCGTAGTCGAGTCGGGAAAAGGCTTCTTTGGCCGATGTGTAGGCGGAGATGACGCTGGATTCCTGCGTCACGTCGCATCTGTATGTTTCGATTCTCGCCGAGGGACTGGCCTTTGAGACGAGGGTCTTGGTTTCTGCGAGGCCAGCTTCGTTCAGGTCGAGCAGGGCGAAGCCGGTAGCGCCTGCAACTGCAAATGCCAGGGCAATGGCTCTGCCCATCCCGGACGCCGCACCGGTGATTATCGCGATGCCCGGCACGTCTGTCTTCGTCGCCATGATAGATTTGTTGATGTAATTCTAGGTCGGGGCTTCGTTCGCTGTTCTGCGTCCGAGATGAGAGTCTAGTACTGTAGATCTGTATGGAAGTTCAAGATGCGCGCCAAGGCTCGATCCAGCAGACGGTTCTTCCTTTAATATATTGGTCATATCGCTTTCCGTCATGCTTGCCACGTCAATCGAGGTAGTGCTATGCACCTAAGGAAGTAGCGCGTGCGGAGTAAGCAGAAGTCGGGAGCTCGATGTACCCAGGCTCCTAACACCGAGAGGAAGAGAATGAGTGGGGTATTTTGTACTCTGTACAGGCCAGCGATATGAGTCGAGACAGGATGTTTGTCTTACAACCCTTTGATGTAAATTCGGGCTCCGCAAGATCGTCTACTGTGTATCTCTAGGCACGGTAAGCTTGCCTCAACAAATACTGGGGAAGAGTGGAGTCATACTATTGCGGAGGGCTGCGCTGATCCGCTGTCCGCCGTCGTTAGAAGAAATCGTCGTCCTCATCGTCGCCATTGCGTCTAACTGCAACCGGTCGCTGGGGCCTCTGTTGTCCTTGTCGTCCCGACCGCCCCAAAGTCACGGCCTCCTTGAAGTCGGTCGCATAGCGGCTAACAGATCCACAGCCCGTGTCAGCATATATTCGTTGCGCGTCGGGGAGCCATTTCTTGATCTGCGCGGCGCGGTTGTAATGGCTCGGGTGAGTGGACATGAATTGAGGAGGCTCGAACTGTTCTGCCTTTTTCATGCGAGCCCAGAAGTCCAAGGCTGCTTCGGGGTCGTAGCAGGCTTCTGCCATCATGAGGAGACCTATATGGTCGGCTTCGGCTTCCTGCGTTCGTGAATTCGGAAGGGACAGGATTAACGTGGCTATGCTGTTTCCAAACTGACCGCTGACGTCGAAGATGAAGGAAACGGCAAAGGCACCTAGCATAATGAAGCTGGACCTGGAAATCCTCTCGGCAGCGTGGTGGGCCACGTTATGCGCGATCTCATGACCCAGAACAGCAGCCAGACCGTTTTCGTCCTGGCAGATGGGGAGAATGCCTGAGAACACAAAGACCTTTCCGCCGGGCAAGACAAATGCATTCTTCTGTTGAGGGTCGTCGATGACATGAACTCGCCAATTATCGCCTGCAAGACCACGAGTCGTAGGAAGCAGCTTCTCGACGACACGGGCAACTTGCATCGTCAAGGGATGCTCGGCTGGAAGGACTTTGCCGCGAAACTCTTGCAGAAGAGACTCGTAGGCTCCCGAGTCGGTGACGATCTTTTCTTCGGACGATGGGGAGACCACGTTGAACCGTCGACGCTGGGTGACAGGGACTTCCTCGAGGTTATAGACGTAGAACACACCACCGCCGGCACCGACCACAATCAATGGTCTTTGGTAATTCCGCCAGATGTACTGAGCACGGTAGACAGGGCCGAAAGTGCTCCATTGCTGCTGCTGCCGGCCACTTCCAGGCTTGTCACCGAACCGAGCGTATCGCGAGGCAAATCGCCTCATTTGAAATGGTGAACATGGTCTGGCGTTGAATGCTGTATCGCAATTACGCGTCCTTGTGAAGCTCTGGCGAGCTGCTTGGCTGGCAGCTCGCAGGCCTGCCCGGAAGGTGAACATAGGAATGCCAGTGGTGGCTGATCAAGGCCGGCTGTGAAAACGGCAGTTAGCAGGGATTGTCTTCGTTTCAGTCTTGACAAGGCCGCCCTATGGGTTTGTCCGTGTTGTATCTGTTTATATGGTGAACATGGAGAAATGCGAGGCCGAAGGCGAATGACGCACCGCCGCTCAAGCCGCAACTTCATCATGTGACGTTGACTTCACCATCGCCGCCGTTCCATGTAGTGTTCTCTACTGCCTACTCAGCCTCTGCTTGGATATTCTTGACATCTTCTAGCGTACGTGGCGATGGCGCTGGTCGCATATTCAGACTCTGAGGGTTCCGAAAACGAAAAGCCCCAATCTCAATTAAAGATTGACAAGCCGACATCGAAGCCTGCAGGCACATCGACCTCGAATTTCACAGTCAACAAGGCAAACCCCCGAAAGATCCAAGTCAAGCTCCACGATGTGCCAACAAATGGCGAGGCAGATGGCGAGCCTGCACCGAAGCGTCCACGGCTCGGCGGCGGCGCAGGTGCTTTCAGTGGGTTCAACGCGATGTTGCCTCCTCCGAAGCGAGACTCCGAGGTAAAGACAGCTGCGAAGCCTTCAACCAGGAAGGTCTTCAGTCTGAAAACCGGTGCTGAGCCGGGCTTCAGTCGAGAGTCAGATGCCGAATTACGGCAGCTGTTTGCGGAGCAAGGGCGGCAAAACACAAACGGCGCAGTCGATGTGGATGTGGATGAGACGATACCTTCGATACCGAAGAGCACGAACCCGACGGTATCGACGGCGCCACAGAAGGCTTCCCAGGGGAATACCTTCATGTTCAAGCCGCTATCCGTGGCGCGCAATCACAAGAAGCCACAACGGAAAGTCGAACGACCAAAATCTACGATTACCCCAGCGCAGGATGGGTCACGAATGTCTGCTCCCGCTGGATCGGTCGCCTCAGCCTCTGAGAATCCTAAGCCAGTTTCCAAGAAACCGAGCCTATTCTCTATGGACGACGAGCTGGAAGCACCTGTAAAATCTCAACCCGACGATGAAGATGAAATCATCGAGGTCTTAGACGACTCGTATGACCAGAATATATCTCCCACACCCTTCGAAGAACCACCCAGCGCCCCGGGCGCTTCACAGCCTCAATCCCTTGACGCCATTGCCTCCGATCTAAACCTATCCAAAGCGGATCGCCGCCAGCTCTTCGGCCGGCGCGGCCCTCAAGGCGGCGCAGTCAATGTCGTAAACTTCAACACCGATCAAGAGTACGCCGCGAATGAAGCATTCCGGGCAAGTGGCGAACAAGTGCAGCATAATCCTGTAAGGGCAATTGCCCCCGGAAAGCACAGTCTGAAGCAGCTTGTCAATGCGGCGACCGGGCAGAAAGACGCTCTGGAGGAGAGTTTTGCTATGGGACGGAAAAATAAAAAGGAAGCGGGCAGCAAATATGGATGGTGATACAATGCGATTACGTCGCTGTTCGAGCCAGCCACGGATTATACAGGTACGCCTTGTCCCCGACGAAGGAGCATGAGTGACAACATGTTGGCCGAGAGGCTACCGAATCGATGAGATGGCGACGACTCATCTCGACAATGCAACGGCACGACCCATCGATTTCTCATACTCCATCTGCAGCGTCCATATGGTTGGGCCTCTACTGAGGGCCCGCGCCACTCCCAGTTACCATCCCCTGTTGAATATCTAGCTGACATGAAGACCAACGTCCGTATCCTCGATTGGCCCTCTATCACGTATCACCAACATAGTACCCGGCTATTGCACCCGGCCTCCACAGTAGTCTTACACTTAGGGACCTGGTCTCCCTGCTGGCCATTTCGACCAACCGCCGCGGCTACCAGGAAGCTGTTCTCTCCTTGTGCATGGCCGGAACTCGTGTCCACCTGAGGCGATTGTTTATCGGACCCGCGGGATGCAGTGGGCATCGCTGCGAGCCAAAAATAACTTGTCTCCATACGATGAGGTCAGGAAAGGTGCAGCCTTGGCACGCGTTACTGGGAGCATTGCTCGGCTCAGTCGATATGTCCGACTTGAGCCTGGCCTTCACCCGGCATGACGGTTCTTGATTGCCCGCATGCCCATCGAGGACTGTCGCGTCGACAATGAGATGGTCTGTCGTCTAATGCACAAAACGGTCGAGACCACGCTCAATGTTGGGACTAACGGATCCCCCTTGGCGCTAGCTCGTTGTTACGGGCTGCAGGCTGAGTGACGATGCTACGGAAGGGTTTCATTGACCGGGCAAAGCTTGGTCGAGTATCAGGCCGCCTCTTGGCCAAGCAGGTCAACAGCATCGCAATGGGGTCGGTCTCGAAAGTCGTTGCCAAATGGCTGCGGGTGACGACGAGGGCTCTCAGTAACATCGTGCCATTGTGGCGTCCATCTTCGCGAGATGCAGTAGGGCAGGTTCACGGCTGATCTCTTCGCTTCCCAGACCACCAGGTCAACCGCGGCACAGTAGGCAACTGTTTACATATACCGAATGCTAATGGCAGATGAAGAAGCGGATGAGGCTCTGTGGATGCTAGATTTTGCAAGTGTTCACCAGCTCGTGCAACCATTTGCTTGTCCAAGGCGTCAATAATTCCCAGCACAGAGCGATCAAACGATAGGCCCCACCCCAATAGAATCAAGGACACCAAGGCGCCACGGATACACCCTTTAGCGCCGTGACACAGTGAGGTCTCGTGCCTGATGCGAGATCTCCGTCAGGGCCGCTGATCAGCCAACACTACGGCCGAAGAGTACTTTGCAATCCTTTCGATCAAAGCCTGGTCATGCCGACGTAAACACGTACACTCCGCGCGTGTCCTTGCCCCTTCGGAACTAAAGGAACAGAATCAAAAAGGGGATGTACATGGTACTGAATTGGCAAGAAAGAGTGATTGGAGATTGGACACACCCTCCTCTACTCCTAGATCGACAATGACAACCACGATCCGTCAAGACCCGAATCGAATTGAGCCGACTCGACTTCACCGGCTACTCCGGATACATGCTCCTGGCTCATTCATGGTCTTCATAAGTGTACCCAGCATGGACGCCCTGGATTTCCTGCCCGGTAGTGTCCTGCCACTGAAGAATGTGCTGCGCGGCCTGTACCAACTGGTCATCGTAACTCATGTCAAAGATGCCCTCCGATGTGAGCCTGCGGAGCATGCCCGTCGTGTGGGGCAAATGGACGCCGTACGTGTCCAACTCCTGTGAGAACTGGTCAAGGTCCAATGTTTCTTCGTCAGAGACGAAACCCAGCTGGCCCTCGATGACCTGAAAGTCGGCGACCAGGTCGCCGTCCCGGCTGATACTCTCGAGATGGAGGCCGTCGACGTGTTTCAAGAGCCGGAGAATCTGCGGGATATGGTCAAAGAACAGGTTGAGTTCATCCAGGACGCCTTGCGCGCTGCGCAAAACCCAATCAGTCAGTTATTTGTCGCTTCAGGCAATCAATGCGATGACCAGGAGGGCCTGTGTCTTGCCTTGTCCCGTCCTGCCGAACAATCTTCCCACCAGTGGGGTGCAAGGAAGGGGATGGAAGCAAAACCGAGGAGCAGCATTAATCTCACTTACCCCAACTGGCTTGAGGTACTGCCTGCACCGGTCGCCATGTTATGCTGTTTGTTTCTGCGGTGATCTAGGTGTGTCGGTCTGGGTGTTGGTTTTTCTGGGTCGTCTCTTTGTCGTGGTTCAAGGAAACCAAGCCGGCCAAGTCAAGCCAAGTCAAGTCAAGTCGATTCAAGTCGATTCAAGTCGATTCAAACGCTCGGCAGATGCTTCTTTCCGCTGCTGGGGGAACGAAACAAGGCGGGCTTCGTATTTATGTCTGCGACCAAGCATCGAGGCCGCCGGGTCTTCGACTGATCCCCTTAAAACTCAAATCAAGGCCAGGTCTAAGCACGGGAGGGGAGAAGAGAGGGGATCCGAACTCATTCCTATTCCGATGCCACCTTGTACCTTGCTGGGAAATTTCTCGTTCCCGGACGCAAGTGTCGCAGGGGCCGATATGCCATAGATAGACAGAGAGAGGTGTACGGAGTACAAAGCATGAGACTGACGTGAGGGTGTTTCCACACGGCAGGCTAGCATTGGAGCGACACATCCCTACAGGGTCCGTGGGAGGAGGATGCGCTTATGGCATATATAGAAGCCTCTCATTAGGACGCAATAAGGGGTATAGACCCGGTTCTGCCTCCTGTATTTGATTATGATCTGGTGGAGCAACACCTAATGGCACGGGGCCGCATGGCTGCGGACGACTGGCTGACTGGTTGCCTGGTTGGCTGCTCGTCGTTATAGCCCCGACTCCGGCTTCCGAAGGGCGCGCGATGAGGGCTGAAAATGCCGTATAGGTTTCTCTAGTTGGACGTGCTGTGATATTCGAGGACTACAAATTGCGTGAGCCGTGGAGTTTACCGCTTTTCTTAGCCGCAAGGCAAGCGAGAGAAAAGCAAGCATATCCTTACTTGGACTCTGTGCTTTGCAGGAACAGATATAGAGGCAGACACGAGGGAGGTATAGCTTCGCGTTCCGCGACCTGGTCACCGCTGTCATTCCCATGTTATCCAATGCCTTACAATAGCATGCCAGGCTAGGTTCTCGAACTCAACAAGTGAGAGGCTAGTAAGAGGCTGGTGAGAGGCAAGTGAGAGGCAAGTGAGAGGCAAGTGAGAGGTTGACAGTAGGTGAGAGGGAGGACAGACGAGGGCGGGCGGGCGATTGATTGGCTGGCTGCGTCTATACCGGGCTAGTCCCAGATTAGCTTAAGGCCTTTTGCCTGCAGTGCGCCTCTTCTCAACGTGAACTGAGTTGCTCCTCAAGCTTCGCCCTGATCTGTAACAACACTATTACAGTACGGAGTATACACTGGTGAACTTGCCCGTCAATTATCTTGCGCCCTGCCCCGTCGCATCTCCGCGTTTCCTCAACCATCGCTTGCTTCCAACCAACTGGCCAACGCTGTTTCGGCCCAACACCAGCACCAGTACCTTCATCTACATTTCTGAGCCGAGCTGTATAGCCAATCTCTCGTTTTTCCTGCTTCCAAACACGTGCGGCCGTTATCTGTGGGAGATGCAGCCGGGTATGCGGTCTGTTCAACCGCCCGCCAAGTCAGCTGGTCGGTATTCGATGTAGGAGTATCTGAATGGAGACAAGTGACAGGTTTCGAGCCGATGTCCAAGTTCGCACTCTCTAGTGGTTAAGCTGGCGTGCTTATGGCAGGCGATTGGATGGGGCCCCGACGTTAGCATTGGAGTACATCTGTCGCGTCCTGGACAAGCGAGGCGGATCCAATTCAACACGTGCCAGGTCGCCACATCCCGGGTTGAGTGTTAAAGGTGGGTGAGTTCGTTGACAACGGAGCGCCTCTTGGAAGTGCTGATGATGGTTTGCCTGGATCGCCGCCACATTTGTTGTCGACACCTTAGAGATTCACGACAGGACCTATCTTCCGCATCTATCGTCCAGCAGGCGGCCAATCCGGACCTGCGACGCGGCATTCCCCTCCAGCATTCAGATACTGGGCTAATGCCTCCCGGGTCATCGTTCGTTCCGGAAACAAGCAGGGGACCCAGTTCTTCCTGCTCCCACACGCCGTGCACCGAGGCGGACCGGAACACCCTCGCCTCCCTTCGATACACCTCACGCAACGGTGCTGGGTGCCCTTGTGGACTTGCCCTTACGGCTCCCCAGCCTCGCTGCTGCGCTTCTCACTATCGTGGGTCGTATTGTCGGCTCGGCTCGGCTCGCGTGACCCCGCGCATTGCTTGGAGCGCTTGGTGGAAGGTCATGTAAATTGTCATCGTCCTTGGCAGTCCTGACTGGCACCTTTGTACCTTCGTACCACTCCTGTACGGCCCTTCGAGTCTCTTCCTGGTAGGATCCCATCACGTCAGTCACTGTTGCCTACGGAACTAAATCACGCGAGAAGGGTAGACTTACCGAGACGTCGAAATCATCGTCACGCCGGAGAAGGGACCCAGGCGCACCACATATAACTTGCCATGTGGCATGGGTTTGCAGATATACGCCTTCAGCTCCGCAGGTCGGGCACGGAACGGAATGTACCGTGTAGCCATCTTGCTGAATACCTGCAACAAGACATGACAAAGAAGGGAGGAGACTTTGTTGAGGTGTGGACGAGGCTTGCAATCTTGTCGGAAGAATCGAACTGAGGACACGGCTGTTGATGATCACGAGGATGGGAGTCGTCCCGAAAGAAGAAATATATGTACCATGGAAGAGTCAGTTCCTGCGCGACGCTACTGGCTCTGGCTGCTGCCCTTGGCTGCTATCTCTGATCGCGGTGAGTGACGGCCCCATTTTACTGCATCAATCATTCACCAAGACGACCAACATTCCCGTTTGGTCCATCGCGTGCGTCGAGGCAGCGGAGGTAGGAAACATTCACCACGCAATGCGATTCGAAAAGATCGAGAGAAATATACCATCGACAAGGGCTGCAGGATGTCACAATCACCCGCGACCCTTCTCGACACCGGATCCAGAAGGCTGCAGAACGTATGTATCTGGCAGACGCCCAGCAAGGTTAACACGCAGTCATGCTCCCTTCCAGTAAATCTCACGTCCAAAGTCCGCCGTATGACCTGTATTTCAGCTCAAGAGACGTTCCTCGTGCAGTCCGCGTTCGGCGGTTGAGGTCAGGAGTGAGAGACAAGCGTGCTGCGTATCTCTTGTCATGTACCACGTCTTCTGTACCTGCCGCTACTTCCTAACTGTTGATGCAAGGTTGACAGTTCCGAGTGTCGCATATCCGGAATGCGAGGTAGGTTGTGAGGAGTGGGGATGAAAATCGACCATGAGGCGAGCATGGAGTGCCAGTACACACAGGAGAGTCAGTACACGAGCTTTTACGCATTCTGTTCCTTCCACACGAGGGAAAGATGGTTTGCTTGATTGGACTGGAAACAGCAGTGTATTTTTCTATGGACGGGGGCGCGGTACCTGTCGCTGAGCTCAAGCCCTGGATCGCGACGGAAGACGAGCCAGCTCTGGGAACCGAGCAGTACGCTCAATCGATATGAGCTGCGACCTCCTCCATGATCACAGCTAATGATTCTTCGCAACACATTCCCTCGAATGTCGCGGTAGTCGGCTCGGCGATGTACTTGTCAGTTGGCGGAACAGGGCCCACGGTGTTGGAAGACCGGCGCTCGAAATTCGGTCGTTGATCGCTTTGAGAATTCGGTTCGTATATACAGAATCAGAGCTGCGGATCTGGAGCAGGTGCTGGACGCTAGTGACATGTGCTTGAGCTGGATCGGCGCAGATCAGGTCGACTCAGCAGATCGGGCACCAAGAGCCGGACTCATCAACACCCTTCAAGGACCTGTCGACACTGGATATCCCTGCCGTGCAGGCTGGCAGGCCCCTCCCTGACTCTCGAACTGCGCCAACATAGCCCGCGACATTGGGTACGGTGGCCAGAGACACGGCTTCCCTGTCCTCGCACACAGACCACAGACGGGCTGGACTCCGTCGCACGCTCGATGCTGGTCCAAGCACCGTTTGCAGTAATTTCCCTTGCCTCTGGTGACTCTGCCCAGGGGTCTTCCCATGCGAGACTGGTCGTCTTGACCGTCATCAGACGGGCTCCTGCTCGAAGGGGGCGGAGGAGGAGGACGAGCTGGTGTTTGAGGCCCGCCCTCACTGGGACCCGTCGCAGGAGGATCTGTGCGAGTGCCGGCACGAGTACTGTCGGCAGGAAGATGACCATGACGACCCTCGGTCACATTTGAGGGACTCTCCGCTTGGATTCCGTGCTGTTCCCGCCACTGCTCTGTCGGGGTGTTCCACTCTGCCTGGGAAGGACCGAAATCGTTGTCTGGTTGGAATAAAGGACCCTGACCGCCTAGCGCCTGGTACCGTATGTGCGAATACCTGTGATGGCACGGGCCGGAAGCTCCGCAGACCGAGCACGGCGCTCCCTGACTTGGACTCATGCTGGCACCGGTGTTGGCGTTTTTGTTTGACGAAGCCATTTCGAATAGCACTGACGGAACGGAGCTCGAGATGGAAAGTGCCGAGAAGTCGTCCGTATTGAGATGGATCTGGAGATAGGAGATGCCGAGAAGTCGTCTATATCGCGACGAAGCTGGAGTTGAAAATGCCGAGATGTCGTCTGTATCGCGATGGAGCTCGTGGCCTTAAAGAAGACGAAGACGAAGACGATCAAGAGTATGTCGACACCACCAGCTTTGAAGGCGAAAACAGAGACGAGGCAGGGAGGCAGGGGTCTTAAATACCCTGTATACTCTTGGGACGACATTGCGCACCGCCGTCGCTGCCACTGCCACTGCCTGTACTTTCCATGCCGTTCTTTCACTCTGCGGCCTCTACTGCCTCTGCCTCTGCTGCCTCCGTTCATTCACAACCAGTGATATACTTTATTGTATATACTGTCGTCCATCAGGACGAGTGGTCATCATGCGTCACTGTTGGAGGAAGTTGGTGGGTGAGTGAGTGCATGGGTGGTTGCGTTACCGGCACAGTGAAATTCCAGTCGGGTCGAGTCGATTCAATTCGTGACGATCTTTGCGGGTTGAGATTGACTGCCCGCCTAGCTGTCTGCCGGGCTCTGCGACGGCTCGAATGGACTCAGCAAGGGAGCAGAAATGATACGGCGAGCCACATGGTGATAGAATATAGATATAGAGGAGAACTCTGGCTTTCCAACGCCGAAACAGTCAGGACATCATCGGTAGTAAGAGACCGTACGGAGTATCCCTGCGTGCCTTTTCTGTCAAGAATCGGAAGCGCAAGGAGAGAGCAGAGGACCGACGACCTAGGTATTGTAGGCAAGCAGGTATATAGGTATACGGGTTTGCAGGCAGGTCGGGTTCCAGAGTACGTCGAAGTATTAGGCTGGAGTGGGATGAGAAAGTATCTTGATTTTAGGTGTTTGATGATGTTGCTGCCGGTGCTGGTCCACAGTAAGACTCCTTTATTTCAAACAGGCTCTTCGTGGAGACATCATAATACTTATACAATGCACATTACCGCCACGCATGGTAATGGATGTGTTTGCTTTAATGCTCTACACGGCGTTTGCGACTTGCTCGGTGCATTGCTTTGGTTCGCTTCGAGCTTGCTGTCTAACTGCAGTGCTGTTTTGATTGTGTTGTAAGTGAGTGAGTGAGTAGTTTGGCATTTGCCATTTGGTTTTCGGTCTCTGCCTTTTGGCATTTGGCATTTACATACCATTTGGCATTCCGTATCAGCCTCTACCATTTGGCATTTGGCATTTACCATTTACCATTTGCCACTCCGTATCTGGCATCCATTGTACAGCGTGTGGTTGAAACCGAAGTAGTGTTGTAATTTCCCCTGTCTCTGCCGATAGGAACTCTGCGCGCGCGTTCCGTACTGAACAGGAGCTTGCTGGTGCAGGGAGACACTGGCATGGCGTTAGGGACGATCGACGGGGCAGTCGCTCCCGAAGGTACTGTACAGAGCTTACAGCACTCTCGTAGGCCGAGGACAAGCAAGACGAAGCCGCAACCCCCTCTACTACGAGCAACCAAAGAACAAGGAACAAGGATGGACAATTAAGGAGATCACGGCCCGTGCAACGAGTCCAAATAAAGACGACTGGACTATGTAGCAGTCCCCGCTCGTTGCTCTGGACTCCCTATACTGACTTTGACCTTCTTTGCCACATTAGCTGGCAAGCTATGCAAACTACCTTCCATCTAATTCACCGTAGGCTACATCTTCGCCTCCCCTCTGCCCTGCGCAGTCGTCCGGCTCTAGACCGTTCATCACTGAACATCAACCACGCTCCCGAACCAGCCCTTCAGTGCCGTAGCTAGCACGCTGGGCAAGTCCCTCACCTCTCTAACCACAAGGTAGTACGGGAATGGGAATCCGTCCAGATACCTCTTCATGCGAAGCTTCATCTCGTCCCCTCCCGCCCCATCTGCAGCGGTCGGATCCCGTTCGTACACGGCTTCTTTGAGGTCGAGAATACTCTCTTGTCCGGCATCGACGATGACGAAAACAACCACGATGCGCTCGTCATCGTGGGCTTGCCGCAAGAGTCGGGCGACCGCGTCGTGATCGGAGATGTGGCCGTCACTGACGATGAGCTGCAGCTGCCATTGCTCCTCGCTTCCCGCTTGGTGTTGTCTTCTGGCGTCGCGGAAGAGTTGGATGCTCTGCTTGAGGAGACCCTTGACGTCCGTGCCTCGTTGCCCGAAGCTGAATGCCTGGAAGGCGTTGGGTCCAGATTCGGCCGGCGAGAAAGGCACGCCGAACGGGTGAGCGATTGTGATCTTTGGAGAGTCCCCGAACCCGACGACGCAGATCTCACCGACTTCCAGCATGGCGAGGGATTTGGTCAACAGTGCGACAGTCTCAAACGCGAGGACATCCGCGCCGGACTCGCTCATCGATTTGCTGTCATCCACGGCGACCATGATTTGGTAATTCCGCTTGCTCGGCACAGATCGGCGCATCCAGATCTTGTCTCGCTTGTAGTTGGATGCGATGTAGGGGATGATGCGCTTAATATTGAGCCTCTTGCCTGTGCGGTAGTCGCCGCGAAGTTTGGTCGCCGTGGTCGGTGAGAGGATGAGCCGGAGTTGCTCGGTTAGGATGAGCGAGAACTGATGTGTGCTCGTTGAGCATTCGTGCCACAGTTGAGCGGCGTGCGTGCTGCTGGTGGGTTGATTGGTCGCTTCCGCTGAGTCGTTGCTGAGCTCGAGGTGTTCAATCTCAGGAGAAAGGTCATCCGATGCCACATCCGTGCCATCCTGTCGATCACCCTCTTCTGGCGGTTGTAGCTGGCGGTCAGGAGCAAAGGCACCAATATCTCTGCTCTCGGCTGATTTGGACTGCGCCTTGAGACGGGAGAATCTCTCAGTGATGTCCTCTGGTGCTTCCGGCTCCATAACATCCGGTGGTGCCGTATTCTCGTCCATTTCAACGTCGTCGTCCTGGATTGCCTTGCTTTGGTCGAGATTCTGCGCTTGGTCGGCTCCCGCAGCTCCCAGGGCTTGTGCATCCCCTTCGTCTTCCTCCCGGACATGCTCTAAATCAGCATCTGCCATATCCTCATTCTCAGCCTGGCTCTCCTGATTCTCGCGTTCGGACGCTGGCAGAATCTCACGTCGTTGATGCCACTGATCAAGGACATCAGCCAATTTCCGCAACGATTCGTTTTGCTCATAATCAAGAGATTCGGCCCGTCCTGTACCACGTTCGACGACTCCTTCTCCGCTCTTGCCTTCTTCTCCGTTGTTGGGTGCTTTGCCCGGCTGGGATTGCTCAGGGTTTGGATCTTTGTCGGCTTGGTTCATGCCTCCAACGTCCTGTTCTGCATCAAGATCATCTGGCAGCTCGTTGGCGGTTCCAGACTCTCCGCCAGCATTCTCTTCGGCGTCGTGAGCCGTGTCGTCTTGGCGAGCACCATGATCGTCTGGACCGTCTTCCAGCTCTTCCGGCTGATCTTCCATGATCTCGTCGTCTTGAGCAACGTCGTTGCCGACGTCGTCCTCTTCCGCGCCGATCTTATCGTTGTCAGCCGCGTCATCCCATGGCTGATCTTGCTTTTCGGTGTCTTCGGTCTCCTCGGCCTCGACACCACCAACCTGCTCTGCAGGATCCTCGATATCCGACAGCTCATCCATGCCGTCGTCCGAAATTTCATCGTCCTTCATTTCGTATTCGCCGGCCAGGTTGAGCTCTTCGGGCAGGTCTAGAGCCTTCTCCTCATCCACATGCGCATCCATCTGTTCACCTTCAGGCCGCTCGCCACCTTCGCCATCCTCATCTTCTTCGTTCGCTTCTTCTTGTTCTCCTTCCAGGTCACCATCCTCGGTGGTGTCTCCATCGGCAGCAGTGTTGTCGTCTAATTTCTTTCCCTTTGCTTTGTCGTTCTTCATCTCCTTGTCCTGCTTCTCAGACTCGTTCTTCATGTCATCCCACATTTTCTCGTCGACAGCATCAGGATCGAGGTCGTCAACAGAGCCCGCTTCTTCATCGACGTCCTTCTCATCTTCGTCTTCGTCTCCAGATCGATCTTCACCATTCTCATCATCCGAAGCCTTGTCGTCCATATCACCCATTTCTCCCTCCAGATCTTCATTTCCCATGTCCACGGCATCTTCCGCATGCTCCATCTCATCGCCTCTCTCCTCCTTCTGTCCCGCCTGCGCAAGCTCGGACAAATCGTCGTCGTCTTGCACATCCTTGCTGATGTCCTCGGCTCCCTCCCCTTCACCCAAGCCAGTGCCAGATTCGAGTTTTCCAGACTGCTCTTCTTGTCCTTCGGCAGGATCAGATGGACGACAAAAACCCTGGCTCACAAGTGTCGTAAAAGACCTCGCTAGTTGTAACGCGAGACGACACGTTTCCAGGTAAGTCGCGGCCTGGCGGTTATGGAAGTGTTCGCCGATGTGATGGAACTGTTTGAAAATAGGCATGGCGATGATTAGCAAGTCCTTGGCCGCTTCAAAATCTGCAGGAGACAGAAATTGCAGCTTGCACATCACATGTTGATCGATGCGACGAGCGAGGCTGCCAACTTGTAGCAATCGCATGCCTTCCACGACGTGCTTGTCTGATTTGATCAGCCAACCGGCATCTTCCTCTGACTCGGGCAAGTCTGGCTGGCCGGCAGATAGTCTCTGCAAAGCCACGAAGACCTGATCCATGGTGTCTCTGAGATCCTGGTCGAACTCTTCAAGTGTGATTTGTGGCTGTAAGTTCTGACCTCCATTTGGAACTGTTGGCAATCCCTCCGTCCACACGAGAAGCTTGGAAACAAGAAATTCGACACGTGGCTCCCTGACTTGCCACTGTCGAAGAGTTGAACCCATCCGAGACAGAAGATGCACGGTCTTATCAAAAATGACGCTTGAAACGTTCCACGCCATTCCTGGTGGAGCGTCAGGGAGGTCACTGAGTGCTCTCCTCAGGTCTTCTGTCTGACTAGCATAAGACTGGAGGGTGGCGATTAGGTCTTTCAGGTCAAGGCCGGCATGGTCTGCCTGGAACTTCAAGATGCGACAGCCCACCGCCAGAACCTGAGTCAGCCATGTAAGATGTTCTTGCACCGCCTGGATGGTGCCGTTCGAGATTGTCAAACATACAAGCTCACCTGGCGACGAAGCGGTAACGGATTGGACCAACACCAACTGTAAGCGAATTGCATCCAAGTCGTGCGCCTGCTGGGGATTGGCCTGTCTTTGCCCGATCGTGACAGATAGTAGGCCCTCCAACAATCCTACACAGCGGTTAATTTCGCCGTCGGTCAGATCGTCAGAGTGTCCTTTTCGAGCTGCGCGAACCTGGGACATGACGTCGAGCAATTCATGGAATGTGCTATCTGCAGCCGCCACGACTGGCAAACGTTGTTGAATTGCGACATGATTGGGCAAAGCCAGGATCGACGCGGTTGAGGACTGCTTCTCGAGCTCGGATGTTGGAAGATTCCTCCTGATGCCCATATGAGCAACCGCTTTGAGAGTATCGGCGAGCAACCGTCTCTTCCTCTCTTGCAAATGACGGACAAACGGCGCATTGTCCTCTGTGAGCAACGAGGGAGTCTGCATCCGTAATTCCTTGATGCTCTCCGTCAAATCTTGCCGGAAGGACATTATCTCGTCTCGTACGTCAAAATCGGTGTTCTTCGAGCGGTACAGGTGCTGTATGCTCCTGGCAGCCCCGAAAGGCTTGGTAAGACGCTCTGGCCTGTTGTCCCAGTCTTGCAGCCGTAGCCGGCTTCGTTCAACGGCCGCGAAAACCTGATCTTCACTGCTCTGAGGCCAATCAAGCTCGGTGACAAGCGGCGCTGCTGGCACCTGCCCGGTTGCCTCTTCCGGCGGGCTGAGCACAACAGCCTGGTTGAGCAAGTTCCGATATTTCTTCACAATTTTGAACAACTTGTGATGGGACCGTCGTGCACTTTCACGGAGCGCCGTGATGTTGGTGTCTTTCCAGCTTGCAAGCTTGATTTGCTCACTCAACGCCTTCTCGAGCTCTAAACGACCCTTGCGTATCGAGGCCTCTACACCTGCTTCGTACCGCTGGTAGTGCTCGATGACGGCTTGTACAGAAGCAGCGATTGACTGCGGTTCTTGCGAGTGGCTTCTCTGCCCGTGCAAGGTCTTGTTGATGGTGGCAAGCAGTTTCAATCGTGACGAGTACTGGCCCGCGGTCGTCGACTTCAGAAACTCCTCCAACGTTTGCACAAGAGTCGTCCGATAACTCATTGGATCACCATCCTCAGAGTTGATGTTCCTGGAATTGCAGATGATTGCCTCGTAGGCAATAAAGTACCATGCCTGGGCGTCTTGCTCGTGTCTACGTGTCTCTTCATCCAGTAGCCTCGACCATGATAACAACTCCATGCGCCGCCAGCTGATTATTTGGGAGGACAGCTTCTCGACGAGCTCATGAACGGACCATTCTCTGCTGGCGACGCTCTGCCATTGCGACACAATCTCAAAAAGCTTCTCGGTCTTCGTGAGGAGCTTGGCGACCGGATCTCCGAAGCTCAGATGAAGGACCTCGGTGCAGAATGTCAGGACCTCTGCAGGGACAGCATGCTCCGGCCACTTCTCCTGGATTGTATAGAACCTGGATTGGATCTGGTGCACAAGGTCAAAAAGCTTCTGACTCTGTGCGATGTCCGAGTCGGCATAAATGTTGAAACTGCCGACTTCTTGACTGCCGTCCAGCTCGGTCATCTTGCACTCCATTTGCAGCAGAATTGCAGGTAGCAACCCAACGAAGGAGATCTCTGAATTGGGGGTACTGGTCTTGGCATTCTTGGACAAGGTTTCAACCGCGGAGAGAATGAATGCTTGCATAGTTTCTTGCGCACCCTGCTCGGAGTAGATCTTCTGGTGCAGTGTGCTGAGCCTGACTGCAGTGGCACGCGCATCCCACTCATTCATGCGTACTTCAGTTTCTCCCACATCCTCGTCGAAATTCGGAAACATTGCATTCATCTCACGGTCATCATCCTCTTCGAGCTGGGCCGAATCTCCACGATAAGTGTAGTATCGAGACTTTTCCGCAGCTTCGACTTGATCACGAGTCAATCGCTCTTTCCATTCGTAGTAGAAGCTGTCAAGGATACCGAGAAAGTCGTCCACAGGGACCCGACAAGGCTTTCCTACCAGGGCACTCTTCAGCTGGATATGGCCAAGCCAGTGCATTCTTAGATCCGGGGGTGAGGTCGGACTGATGGTCCAACTGTGAAAAGCAACTGGATTTGCAGACAGCAACGGTGTGGCCACGACAAGCCCATCGATAGCGTCGCTTTTCTTGACTTTCGGGTTTTCTGGTGCTTCAAGCTCCAGGCCCTGGCATAAGCATTTCAAGAACCAAAGTATCGGTTTCGCAAAGTCGTCGTACATACGATCAGCCTTTTCGAGGCGCTCGACGATAACGTTCACATTTGACCTTCCTCGTGGACTCGACCATTGTTCAGTCCACTCTGCACTGCCTGGCTGCATACTTGGAGAAGTACCGGCGTCCCCATGATGCAAGATCACATTCACGATTCCGTTGAAAGCTTCTTGAAGCTTGAAGTGTTCGTCTTTGCTCGGCCTGAGGACTGTTTGGGGAGGAGAACTGGTTCCCACTTCGACTAGCTCCCGCTCAAGGACGCGGATAAGAAGGGCGGTGTCTTGCCCGGTCACCTTCCTATGGAATTGTTTGTGGCCCTCAATCCTGCTCCGAAGAGCCGCAGTTCGGTATTCGTGAAGGTGGTGCGCAATGGTTGGAAACGTGGCTGGGTCAAACATCTTGTTGGGCACCATCAGAATGAGCCCAGCCAGGGACAAGTTGATGAGACATGTCTTTAGCTCTTTGAGCCCCAAAAGGCCGAAGCCGGAACCATTCTCAGCAAGATGTAGCAGTACGGGATGGACGAGGTGTCGATATACGTCGCGGAAGGCATCGTGAATCCTTCCGGGGACAATCGTATCCTCAATCGAAAGAACAGCCAAGCCAGCAAGATTGGGCGAGCCCTGCTCAGGCAAGCAAGCTTGTGCCTGTTTTGTGAGAAGGTCACGATGCGAGAACATCATGCCTCCAAGTACCACACGTAGATTCTCAACTACTGGTCGAATCAGGTTCCCGAAGAGGTTGGTATGAGAGGTGATCACTCTAACGAGCACTTGAAGCTCCTCCTTGGCATGGTTCAGCATCCCGAGGGGCTGCTTTTGTATAGCGAGCAGCCGTTGAGCTAGTCTTGCCCCTATGCAGCCACCACTCAGCAAGATCCCAGCCTCGAATGATGAAAGCCGAGTCAACGACATCGGAACAGGCTCTTCCACTCCCATGTCGAGCAGAGGCTTGTCGAGTTCTGGAATGAACATGGTCAGCAAATCGAGGTCTGGCTGGTTCTCCTGCCCCTGAACAGTGATGACCCTGTGAACGAATTGCATCACATCCTCGAATTGACCTTCCAGCTTATAGCCTTGCTTTGCCTGGGCCTCCAGGTCAGTCACAGCATTCTCGAGAACCTCCAACGAGCTCCCCGGCTGCGCCGACTTGACAATCGACTGATAAGCACGCTGCAGGTCTGATCTCACTGCCGACAACGAACTTCTGGATTGCGGAAGGTAGCGACAGATTCGATCGAATCTCGCGATGACCCCTTCCAAGCCAAGTTGGACATGAAGTTGAGACAGCGTTGTAGCAGTCCTGGGTCGGAAGGTATGCCACATGAGCTGGAGCCCGAAGCCGGTAGTCAGGACATGGTCGCGAACCGATAAAGCTTCGAGGGATTCTGAAAAAATGGAAGCCAGTTCGGGGAAGATTCGTCCGACCTTATCGGCTATGTGCGTCCCAACCTGCACATGCGCCTGGAAGTATGCCGCGTCAAGGCTCCTATTGTTGCAAAGGACCAGAATCTGGTGTGCGAATGTAAGCAACTGGTCGCATGCGCCAACCAAATCCGCCAGCTGTGGGCTGTGGAGCGCGCTCCGGAAAGCAGCAGCAATCGACGAGACCAGTAGCTTAGCAAAGGCAGTAGCATTGGGAATGGTACCCAGATCCTTGCGGCTTGTGGTAGAAGCTGACCGCTCAAGAATCGTTCTGTCTTTCAAGGCCACAGTACCTGCACGCCTTGATGCACTCTTTAACATTGAATCAATCTCCGCCATTCGTCGCATCAAGTACCAACATCGTACGAAGAGCTTGGCAAAGTCGGCATACCCGTTCAGCAAGACCAGGGGCTCATTGAGGATCGCCAGTTGTGGCCACTCTATTGCAGAGATCTCTAGGAAACCAGATATCTGGCGCACTAGTTGTACATCGAAAGATTGTCTTATGCTAAGGTCCACTTGGCATGCTTTGATGTCGGGGGTATCAGGAAGCGTGCTATCAGGAGTTGAGATTATTGCCATGTCATCAGCAGTCAGATTGTCAACCATGGCTTCTTTGACCTGACATGGCGGAGATTGACTGGCCCCTTCGAATAAATGTCTCAACCGACTGACTGAGGAAGACAGCGGGTACTGAACAGGCTCGGTGGTCAAACGAGCCTCATGCCCATCAGGCAAGAAGATTTCGACGGATCGATTGCGCATCGCTCGTGATAACTCTCCATACCGTGGATCCATCGTCATGAAGATCCTGAAATTTGGGTGTGGCTTGATGATTCTTGTGCCGTCGCCTCCATTATGTTGCTCGCTTATGGTAAGCAGTCCATCAGGCTCAAGCAGTGAGTTAAGTCTGTCGAGGACGGAAGGGCTGCACAGATTGGCGTTATCGAGCACTAGCCATGAACCTTTCTCGACGGCATCGACGAGTACACCATCATTCCAGACAAAGCGAAAGCCGCTGTGATCAGCCGCGCGAAGACTCTCGGAGTACATTTTGATCGGCACCCTTGATTCTGGCAGAAGTCTGAGAAGCTCAGGTAATACCATTGGAATATCCTCGATCGTCATGTTTTCACCTTCGAAGTATCGCCAGGCCTTCAGCAGGGCCGCCCGTGTTTCTTCATTGTTCTCAAGCTCGGTGGATGCTGCAATACGTCGTCGCAGAACTTCTTTGACGTGAACTAGGAAGACAGACACATCTCGATGTGAATCGTACTGCTCGAAGCCCCCCACGAGGTCCATGGCGTCCACGTCACCATTCATAGAGAATTCAATCAACTCTACGCCCGCTGCAGCTGCCAGATATCTAAGCAGCGTAGTCTTCCCAGCACCTGAAGGACCAGCAAGGATAACAGGCCAGTTCTGCCTGACGGCTGTGATGATAGAGTTCGCAGCAGGAAGTTGTGTGACAGTAAGAGCCGAGTTCGGTGATTGAGTATCTTGCAGGACACTATCTCGAGAGAGGAATGCACTGCCGACTTGAAAAATTGTCGTCGAGATATTGTTGTAGAAGCTTTCGGAGGATACGCTTCCTAACACTGCTTCGGCCTCTTTCAGTACTATCTCCTGCTGAGCAGGATTGCGGAACCGTTGTATAAGAATAGTCCGAAGGTGAGAAGACATGGGAAGAATGGGCTGGTCTTTGCATAGTCGCAGCCACCGATTCACATCTCGCAAATTGAATTCCCATGGGCCTCCGTGTGCAAATGCCGACACGTGAGAAATGGCGTTTCCTAGTCTAGTGACAGTGTCGATGAGTACTTTCAGTTGCTCGCGATCGATATCGGGGTACCGTGTTTGGCAGATGCGCAGCAAATCCTCGTGTTGGAACGAGTCGGCATAGACGACAGTGAATCGGTTGACAAAGGACGCCGGTAGGCCCTTGCGACCTCCTCCTTGGTGATGCGGGTTCTGGGCGGCGAACAGCGTAAACTCTGGATGGCAGGCAAAAGATTTATCCAATTCTGCGATGTAAACTTCTCTGCGGTGGTCCAGACAAGCATTCAAACCCTCGAGCACGGACTGGGATGCCAAGTTCATCTCATCAAGCAGGACCCAGCCACCGCATTGCATGGCTTGGAGGAGAGGCCCGTCTTGCCATGAGAATTTACCCATCTCGTCATTTTCGGAAGGAACATCTGCACCAAACAAATCCATGAGGTCGGTCTGATCGGACAGGTTGATCCGCGTGAATGGTTTGCCACAGGCATGAGCAAGCGCTGTTACTATCGCGGTCTTCCCGACACCCGGGCTGCCTTCCAAAAGAACAGGTCTCGTCATTTGAAGGGCTCGGACAATCTTCATGGTGTTCCGTAGCGTTGTCGGGGCGTCGAAGACAAGTTCGGGGGAATCGCGGTCTCCACTAACGGTGCGAGGCAAGGAGAATGAGCCAACAGAAAGGCGGTCAGCGGTGGTGGACAACCCGGGAGTTTGCTGATACAGTTCCACGACTCGCAAGCCCACCAGGCTTTGTAGGCGGTCTAAGCACCTCTCTTTGGACTGGTCTTGGTCCGTCGTTCCTAAGGAAGTCATACCAGCAGGGTTTGCGCCGATCGAATCGACATACACCATGAATGCACCATGTAAGAATGCCAGGTCTCCCGGGAGAGAACCAGCAAGGTTGACGAATTCAGCCCATGCAAGCAGATCTCGCAGAGCTATGTTTTGAACCGTAGCACTGTGAAATTCTGCGCGGAACCACGTGGCGAAATTCAGCATCTTCTCGGCCAAGTGGCGCCTCGCTGGATCGAGCTTCTGCTGGAGAATGGGCAAGATATCTGACTCTCGGGACAAAGGCGGCACCCAAATCTCGGTCAGTCGATTCCGCAGCGCTGCCGACAGCTCTCGCTTTCCATAATCGCCGCCTGGATTCATTGTGGCCAAGAACTGAAAGTCCGGATGGGCTATGACCAGGTTATCGATAGAACCTTTTTCGGCGAGTAGGATCGTTCGCGATGGCTCTAAAACGCTGTTCAGACGTTCGAGGACGGAATCCTCAGCAAGCGAAATCTCATCAAGCAGGAAAAATTCGCCTCTCTTCATCGCTCTGACGAGACTGCCGTCACTCCAAGCAAAAAGAGATTGGTACGCTCCGATGCACGATCGAACCTGCTCCACAGCATGAGGGTCGAATCTCGTTTTATCCAGCTTTGCAAAGTCCTGAATGATCTGGTCCACCTCCAGATCCGCGAGCGTGGTGTTGTCGGCCTCGAATTGAACCAGAGCTCGCCAGCTGGCGGATACATCAGAGGCAAGATCCGAGCGGTTGCGGACTGGCCGCTGAGAACCGATAAGATCTCCAGTTTCGGTGTTGGTATGTGCGTTGTAGATGGCCAAAGGTCTTCGAAACGCTTCTGCGATCACCTGACAGATCTGGGTTTTTCCACAGCCTGTCTCGCCGACCAAAAGCACCGGCTCTTTGTTCTTCAATGCTTCAGCAACCAGCACGAAGACTCGTCTCATAGCAGGGGTCCATACAAGTGAGCCAGGTTGCCGAACAGAATCCGGAATTTTCGTCATTCCATACAGAACATTCTCATCGAGCTTGACTTTAATTTCCTTTTCCAGCGTCTCTCTGACCACAGCCCGCTCTGCAGGATCTCTTACTCGCTCAGCCAGGAGCATGTATCCGTGGTATGCCAAGGACTGCCAGTCGTCCACAGGTCTTGAAGCCCAGCGAAATAGGTCTCTCAAGGTCGCAAAGCTGTTTCTCTGTTCGAAGAGTCGCGAGGACTGTCTGAGAAGGGACAAAGACTTGTACACTGCGACAATTTTGGCGCAGAACGGGGGTGCGATCTGAGTCCTCTCACGGAGGATGACCTCCAACTCTTTCTCAGGGATGTCGTCGAAGTGAATCTCGAGAAACCGGTTACGAAAGGCCCGGGAGAGACGTTTCCGCCCACCATAGAGGCCAGCCGGATTCTGAGTGGCGAAGAGCATGAAGTTCGGATGTGGTCGCACAATTTCTTGGGACTCCGGTATCAGTAACTCTCTGTTATCGTCAAGTAGGCGGTTGAGTGCCTCCAGTACATCACTCGGCGCGAGGTTCAGCTCGTCAAGCACGATCCAGTGGCCGAAGCGTAGCGCATGCACCAAAACTCCTTCCTGATATACTAACTTGCCCTCAGTATCAGAGACGTAAGAGCCGAGGTACTCTTGCAGGTCCGTGTGTTCATGGTTGTTGATTCTCACAAACTTGTTGCCTGATAGCTTTGCGAGGTATTCCACCATGCTTGTCTTGCCAGCTGATGTTGGCCCCTGGAGAAGAATAGGAAAGCGTCCCATCGAAGCGGCTCGAGCGAGATTGAGCAAGTTGCGCTCGACTGATGGCGTTCTGATGTAATGTGGTTGGAGGTCGGGACTCATTGGACCCTTTTTGACAAGGTGGTGTCTGAAGGCAACGAAGTCCTCTCCCTCGTGTGGCATCTTTGGCTGTTGACTAAAGAAAACCTTCCTGTTCTTGATATTCGAGAGAAGATGCTTTTCGAGGTGGGGTAGAGCTATGTCTTCCGACGCTCTACTCAAAACAGTGAAGAAGCTCATCGCATACCCTTCGTACATGGCTCGTCTCAACCCTAGGCTCGCACCGTGCTGTGAGACGTATAACAGACATCTGACCAGCGACCGGATGCTGAAATGGGGGGTTTCGCCCGCTCCATCGGTCAGTTGGCGCTCTTCGTTGAGCTTCTTGAGCGCGAGGTAAGACTTTGCAAGATCTAAAGCGGCCCTGCTGTCGCTGTCAAGCTGAGAGCCTAGATAAGTCTGGATGATCTTGGTCAGGTCTTCTGAGTTGTCGTCTCCAGAGGGAACGTAGATTTCGGTAAATCGTGACCGTAATCCCGGTGGGAGATCTTTCTTGCCCGCGTCCGTTGCTGGATTCATGGCAGCAAAGACTCGGAAGTTTGGGTGGGCGACGATCGTCTCAATATTGGCTGCCTCGGCGAGCAACAGCGTCGGTCGTCCTTCATCGCCATTTTGAAGAAGACCGACGATATGATCAAGAGTATCGGATGGTGCCAGGTTGATCTCGTCAAGAAGTACCCATTGGCCCTCCCGCACAGCTTGAACCAATCTCCCTTCAACGAAGGCAAAGGCATGCGTCCTGTCACCGCGGTCGACGACAGACCGAACTTGCTTGAAGTTCTCGGAGAAGTCAGCCCATCTCTGGCGCAGGACTTCGTACTTAGGAGTTTCGAGCTTTCGCTTCTTGCTTGTACGAGCGACTCCGTCAGTGCTGGGGACTTCAACAGCTTTGAGCGCCGTCGCGGCCATCTGGACGGCTTGATCCCAGAGGATCATCAGCCGTGGCCAATTCTGCTTTGCAATTGCTTTTGCCATAGCAATCTGGAACTTTTCGTTCCGCTTGGTAGAAAATGTATCATCAAACAGCGCATTAAACCTTTCCACGACCGGAATTATCAGGGAGCGAGTGGTCACAGGCTTCAGTCCACCCAGCAGATCGCCTGCCTCGCTTTGCTGTGAAAGATTGACCACGGTGAGTGTTTGACCCACCAAGCTCGCCACGTGCTGGACCAGAGTAGTCTTCCCGACGCCAGTTTCACCAACCAGGAGGGTAGGTTCCGAACACTCAGCGCTGGCCGCGATGCGGTCAAGCGTTCTTCGGGCTGAGGTGGTGGATGCAAAAGCGGCTTTCTTTGATTGCCGACGACGGCTGGAAATTCGGTGCAAAGTACTTCGACCTACCTGGATTACCTGGTTGTGCTCGATCACGCTTGCGAGCATGTCGTTCAGACAGTATCGCATTCGCTGAGGAGAGATGTCCATTGACGTCGCAATACTGGCTGCCACAAGTTCGTGTAGTTCTTCGCTGTTGAGGAAGCCCGCGTAGCAGTCAACAGCGTCCTTGAAAATATCCAACTTGATCTGTTCTGGAAGCGCAGTCGATTCCGAGACCGGGCCGTAGGCGCGTAACCTGCGGACAATTCTCCTGCACAGGTTGAGCAGATCCCGCAACGTCGGCTGACGCGTCTGGAGACCCTTGAGGGAGTGATGGACGTCATACAAGCGGAGGAGGCTCTCATGAGTCTGTCGGACCATTGTGATGAAGACAGCGGCAGAAGGATAGCGGGCACGAAGCAAGAACTCAACCTCCTCCAGTGGGTACGGAGAGGTTTCGACTATGGTCCAGAGTCGAGCATTGAGTAGCCAGGAAAACCGAGAAGATGCGGTAGAGGAAGATTGAGAACTAGTCTTCATCGTTGCCAGTATGCGGAAGCCAGCCTTTGGACGGATCTTCTCTTTGCGACTGGGCAGGAAGAGCTCACCATTCTCAAGGATAGGACGGAGCACTCCCATGACCTCGGCCGGCGCCCTGTCAATATCCTCTACCAAAACCCATCTTCCCTGTTGCATGGCCTTGGTCAAGACTCCGGGCTGCCAGGTAAACGAGTTGCCATCGGCTGACGACGTATGCATCCCGAGAAGGCTCTTCGCATCGGTTTGTTCGTTGAGGTGCAGTGTGATCATCGATGCTTGTTGGCCGAGGAGTCTGGCAGCCTCATGGACGAGCGAAGTCTTGCCTGAGCTGGCCTGACCCGATATAAAAATAGGTTTCGGTTCTAAAAGACATTGTCCCAGCTGACGTAAATTGCGTTTTGCCGTGGCTGTAAGGACAAAGGCTGATTCCGAGATGGGTGAAGAGTGCTCAGGAGAACGAGAGTGTAGAACTCCACCAATGTTGGTGGTGTGAGGCGAGAAGTCAACAGGATTCAGATCTCGCCTGCTTGCAGAAGGCTGGGATGTCGATTGCCAGGACTGTTCAACGGTAGTTGCTGCCTTCGCTAGGTCCTTCCATCTTCTTTCTTCCCAAAGCTTCAGAAGTCGATAGTCGATACTTCTGCCTTCCCACTCGCCCAATATCGCCTGCTTGCCGATGTACGTCTCGACCAACTTCTCCGAATAAGCGTCTGCAAAATGCATAATCATACACAGGCACTGGATGGCCAAGTACCTGAGTGGAAGGGACCGGTGCCGTAGGTACGCCGACAAGAAGAGGGGCCCAACAGTTCCGGAAAGGATGTCCCAGTCGCAAGACAGGAAGCGAAACAGCGAGAGCAAAAGTGATTGTGTCGCGTCATCTTCGAGCTCAGGGACGGAGTCCTGCACGTCAAACAGCAATTGCCGTAGCTGAGTTGTGCGGAGCAGTGACCTGACATGAGGCCGGAGATAGGTAGCAAGTGGCAAGGCCCGAGCTAGACATGACAAGGTAGAGATGATCTCGCCGAGATCTGAAGATGAGATCGCGGCGTTCCATCTGGCCACAAATTCCGGAAAGAGTGGTTTGTAGAGTGGAAAGACTGCATCGGTGTATCGTCGGTCTCGCGATATGTTAGCAAGGATCTCGAGGTAATGTGGCGATGTCGCCTGTAGAATGAGTGACCGAACTTCAGTCGGCACAGCGCGAAGAAATGAATGGTCTTCCTGGAGTTGTGCATCAGCCCACGAGCAGTATGCTGCGACGTCTTCCATGGTGCAGTCGTGGCGCAGTCTCGCCGTATCTGCTCCGCCTTTGCAAAGCGAGACGAAAGCACTCTGTGTTGGTGTTGAGAGCGTAGAGGGAGCAATGGATTTCGCGAAATTTCTTGCCTATACAAAGTCGCGGCCAAAAAAATCCGCCTCGCCGCCTCTGTGCCAGGCAATCTTACCATTTCAGGTATGGTTAAAAAGCTTCTTGGGCCGGCACGTGGATGCGCTAAAGAGGCGTGGTGCCGCCTCGCCGCTTTTGAGTCGGCGTGAGCAGTCTGCCCTACCACAACCCTCACGACTTCAGACAACGACCAACATTCAATTGTTGCATCCATTCGGTGCCGGTGAGATTTTCTCACACATTCATGAGCTGGCGAGAGCATGCATTGCTAGCCTGGACATTTCCAATAGCTTGGCTCTCCGGTTTTCTTACTCGGCATTCATTCTAATCTGTTCGGCTTGGTTCGACCTCCTTAACGGGCCGCATAGTCGTCGAACCGAGGGTCCAGCCCGCGCCTTGCTTTGTAGATTGGTTTTTGGTCCACGTTGATGTCGCAAGAACGCCGCCGCATACTGTGGGTGATCAGCCGGTCACGAGGACATGTCACCCAATTCGGAGGACGTGATCTCAAACCAGCGGACACGGGACACGGGACACGGGACACGATGGGATTCACACAGAAGCGTTAGGGAGAGGCGCGTCCGGCTACAGTACCTAGACCTACCAGGTACGGAGGATACCCAGGTAGGTCAGGTACCGAGTACTAATTAAGGCGTACTCCGTACACAAAAGTAAAAAATGGGTACCAGGTAGGTACTTTGTACGGAGTACACCTCGTTCTGAGTGGGGTATTATTCTCTCGCCTACTATACTGCTATGCCGTCAACCTACAGTAAGTGAGGTCTCTACATGGTTCGTTGGCGCGCTGCATTAACAGTAACAGTATGCCTGGTCATCCAACACGTCTGCCCTTTACTGCCATCCTCCTTTCTGACCGTATTGCAGCAGCCTGCCAACAGTTGAGCTGTCGTGACTGAATACAGCACCTTATGTAGCATTCACTCTCCTCGAACAAATCATGGCGGTATTTCCGCAGATGTAAATCATCTGCGGATGGGCTCTAAACGTATTGCCACACCACCTACATGTCCTTACGCGAGCGGGATTTGGGGGACGCGCATGGAGCCCACGCACATGCAGTACACCACATGGGACACACGCACATACCATACAATAACAAGCACCGAGCATGGCTTGAATACAGTACGAGAGTACCTAGGTATGTAGTCTATGGACAAACAATCATCTGATCGCTATCATGGGGGGGCTGCACTTCTTTGTGACCAGACAGACAGACATTGGGGGGTATAAAAGTCTTCCCAGAAAACATCCAAGTCGCTTACTCGCTGACTTGATTTTAGGACAGAACACAAGCGTGCAGGCGGACGGGCGGGCAGATAGACCGACAAACAGATAGACAGCCGGACAGCCAAACAGACAGATAGGCAGATTCTCCTCCCTCTTCTTTACATGACATCGCCGCCGCAGACTGATACAGAGGTGGGTAAAAACACAGAAACAAGACCACATCATACGTACAGAAAGAGAATTATGTCCAAGGCGCACACATGGGGAGAATCTATACATAAGGATCATATCGTCATCCGCATTACTCTTCAGTCAGGGCGTCGTCGCCGGCTTCCCTCCACTCGCGGGACTGTTCGGTGAGTCTCTTGACTCCACTTAATCGCTCGGCCCATAAGGATTCCGAGGCCGTGCGGAACGTGTAGGCCCTCTGAGATGAGATGACGCCGATGGCTTGCAGCACCGCCTTGCGTGAGTCGCGCGAGAACACAGCCGGGTGGTTGATCCATTCCAGACTGGCTTCAATGTCGGCATCGAGCGCGTTCATCAGCGTCTGGTCGACGTGGGCGGCGGATCGTGGAATAGGTGTACTGGTATCCGAGTGGGGGCTGTGGTCGCGGCCACGGTCGGGTGTGCCGGTTCTGGGGCTCCCTTGCTTGGACTGGGGACTGTGGCGCTTGCTGGTGGAACTATTCGCACCGGCCGGAAGGGGCGGCAGACTGCCTTTCCCCAATCCTTTGAGGATGGTCCTTGTTTCATTGAGCAAGTGATGTGCCCGGTCATGCTGCCCGCGGTGGACGAGAGTGAGTGCTCGGCTTAACATGTCCGATGTCAACAGCTCCATCCGGCGTTGCACGATCGATGGATGAGGAGGGATCGGAGGCGTGGGGGGTCTCCCATTCTGTCGGGACCGTCGATTCGATGGTAACATGGTGATGGTGAGCAGTGATGGCCGCGGTAACTGTACCATGGAGCCATCTCGTTGTAGGTCACCAAAGGATAAATCAGCCTGGATCAACGGCAACTCTTCCACGCTCTGGACCCTTTGATCGTCCGCATCCACGGAGCCTCCTAAAGCCTCGAGGCCGGACACTATCGATTCCCAGGCATCCTGGGGAGCAGGCTCCGATGTAGTGGTGTCCGGATCAATCACCAGTTGGACGAGCACATCTCGCTTGTCGCCGAAGTGAAGATCGCCCAACGTGGCTTCCGCGTCCCGTCCGGTAGCTCTCTTCGTCGTTTGTAGAGCGCCATTGATCTTGACAAATTTCGCGGGCGAACCTTCAGGCAATTTAAGCTTCAATCTCACATTTTGGTGCGAAGTGGATTGGAGCGCGCCGAGCACACCGGCAGCGCACTCGCGTAGCATCATCCAGTCCTTGACATAAAGATAGGAGGCTTTTGTGCGGTTCGATAGCTCCAGCATGCTCTCGGGTTTGTGGGTGAGTCCAAGGCCAAAAGAATAGATGCCGACCCTGGACCAGTTAGCAGGGTCTCGCACGGGGGACAGGAAGAAAGAGACTTACTTGGCGGCTTCGGCCCTTTGGACGACGAAGTCCACGCCGTCCATTTCCGAGGTCGATGAGTCGCTGATCAAGAGGATGGTCGAGATGGGGTTGGCCGCTTTACGTTGCATCAACAGATCCATGGCCACGTTCGCACCATCGACCACATCCGCACGCAGGCTCTTCTGCCCGACCGGCCGGATCGAGTTGAGCACTTTGTTCCATCCGCCCCATGTCTTGGTCGTCATCCCAACGACGGGGACTCCGCCGCCGCTCGAGCCAAAGGTGACGAGACCCATCCGATCCCGGTCGCCCAAATTGTGTACGAGGAATCGGAGCGTGTCCCGCAGCAAAGTGATCTTCAGGCCCTGCATGGAAGAGGACACTGGAATGACAACGACGATATCGACCGGGACATGCAGAGAGGGCGCCACCCGTCGGTCGACGACGTTCTTCGGCATCGAGTACTCGGTGGCTGCGGTCGTTGCAGATTTGGGGCCTCCGTACGACGAGGCGACGGAGGGCACTCGTCGAATGTGCCGGTTTCGTTGGCTGTCATATTCCTCGTCTGTGCCGGAAGTGTCTTGCTCGTAGTCGGAATTGAACCGTGGAGACGGCTCGCTCGTATGAAGGTCGCGCAGAGCGCGTTGCCAGAGCTCTAACTTTTCTCGTTCCGGGAATAACAGATGGAAGGTGGGCAGCTCTGCAACCGACAGGTTCAAGGTCAGGATGCCCTCGTCAGGAGAGGCGTGTACCTGCCTCAGATGCTTTTTGATCAGGATCGAGCCCTTGAGAGTGCACCGGGTCAGCTTGCGGCCCGACTCGGTGATGAGAGGCGGCTGAGCATTCTTCTTTTCCTTGACGCAGATGAGCATCTCGCCAAACAAGTAGCACTCGAGTTCCTGCCATGAGTAGCGATCTTTGCCCACGCGGACCACACCATGGAGGCGTAACTTTCCGAACCTCTGGAACTCAAGCCCGTGCCAGTTGTCCACACGCGCCCGGAGCTCTTGGGTGATCTCTTCCAGGATGTCGGGCGACTCGTAATTCATGGGGGATTGCTGCATTTCATGCTGCCGATCATGCTGCCTATGCATTGCGGTCATGCCCACGGCAGAGTCGCTCGGCAGTGGCGGCACTGGGGGAGTAGGCTGTGCCTCATCTACCTGGCCATGCCACTTCCCTTCCGGCACCTCCACTGTCACAAGGCACGTGACGGTTTGCTGTTGACGTGACCGTGTCAAGGTGGGATATTCGCTGCGGACGGTGACCATAGGTGCGGGTATTGGTTGCTTCGTTTCCTTGACCTGTGCGCCCGGCACCGAAGTTTCCATGGCGTGGAGGTCATAGTCGTGCTTTCGTGGCGGGTGACTGCCGTGGTCATTGGTGTAGTCCGCCGAGGAGGCATTGCCACTGTCGTTACGAGAGTGAGTCTGCGTCTGAGTCTGCGTCTGAAGTCCATAATAGCCGTGGCCAATTCCAAGTCGTTCTATGCGCATCCTTTGGCTGTCTCGACTATCTCGGTTCGAGGTTTGCCGGCTATCTCGATCTGTCGTGCCGCGAGCGCTGTAGGAATCTTCCTGGGAAACCTGTTTGGCCGCGTCCCAGGGCATCGGCGTATTCTGCGAGCTTCTGGGTGAGGTCACGTCCTTGGAGGCGACCGCTCGAACCATGTTACTCAACTTGGCTGCGGCCCATGTCAGAGATAGTCAAGCAAGCGAGAGGCGGGCGACCTACTCAGATCGAGGATGCTTCCCCCGCGGAAAGAATCGAGACTGAGGGGAGCCTCGCATGACGGGCAGTATTGGGAGTCGGAATCTTTGATGTACTCGTAGAAGCACGCCTCGTGGGCGACGTGGCCGCACGAGAACTGCAACACCCGCTCTCCCCTCAAGGTATGCTCCAGCAGCTCTTCACAGGCGGCACATTCTCCGCCCACAAACGTCCTCTCTCGCCGGGATCGTGCGCGGTCCGTGTCGAGCATGCCGGCCATGGGATGGCCCGCGCCCGGAACGCTGGTCGTGGGCGAGGGAGGGCCTCGGAGGTCCCTCGTGCGCGGGCGATGGTCGTTCGGCGTATGCGGCCGGCCCAGGGTGCCGGAGGTGATACTGGACTGCTTGAAGGCCGGGCTG